TTTTTGAGACGGAGTTTCGACCGCAACCTCCGCCTCCCGGGTTCAGGCAATTCTCCTGCCTCAGCCTCCTGAGTAGCTGGGATTACAGGCACGCGCCACCATGCCCAGCTAATTTTTTGTATTTTTAGTAGAGACAGGGTTTCACCATGTTGACCAGGATGGTCTCGATCTCTTGACCTCGTGATCCACCCGCCTCGGCCTCCCAAAGTGCTGGGATTACAGGCTTGAGCCACCGCGCCCGGCCACAAAATGATTTCTTATAAGTGACAAAGAGTTTGGTTGGATTTATCTTGGCAGTGTTCATTTTCGTAATTTTTTTTTTTTTTTTTTTTTTTGCAGATTCTCACTCTGTTGCCTAGTTGGTCAGGCTGGCTTCAAACTCCTGACCTCAGGTGATCCAGCCACCTCAGCCTCCCAAAGTGCTGGTATTACAGGCATAAGCCACCATACCCAGACATTTTAATAAAATTTTTGAATGCATTTACTCCATTCTGATGAAATTCCACCTCTCTGGAATCAAAGAAGAGAAGAAACCAATACTGCTAACAATATTGTGCCTTCCAGAAATGCTTCTATCCACTTTTGAGCTGAATGAGCATCATCTGCAAAGCTCATGTTCTTAGACACTATACTGCCTAATGAAACATTAGGTCCTAAAAGCTAAGGCTAAAAGATCGGGGCTTAGGGCTAACCCCTGCAAGATTCTCACAGATCTATTTTATCAAAACTTGGAAGCCAGAGAGATTAGCATTGTCTTCCCCCAAACACTGACACTCACTCACTAGGCATAGTTGCAGGCACTGGAGCCACAGAAATAATCTTTACCATTGAGAGAGTACCACAAGCAGGGAGGATCCCAGTAGCTGACTGTCAGCCAGTCAAAGCCTGAATGACTGAGGGGAGGATAAGGAACATGAATGTTCTGAAACTGGGGACTCGAGTCCACTCAGCACCCTTGTGAGTCAAAGGTGCTACAGCCAGGAGATGCTGGTTTTCCAAGTTTCCTTTCCCTAGATAGTCTGACAGTAGAGAGTGTTTTGACTAGATAAACCTTAGAACCATTTCTGTGCTCCCTCAAGTGGGAACATTTGGAAATGTCATTGTTATTTGGGAACCCAGAAGGTTTCACAACAATTTTCATCTGCTAGCATCAACAGTTTTGGCTCCGTTTGCTCTGGGTGATACCTCCAAACTAACTTAAAACCATACCTCATCCCCATAGCTTCTGTAGTAACATGACATAAAAACTTCAACCTGGGAGGCTGGCTGACAAAATTCCTAAACCCGGGAAGTTTAAGACAGCCCTACACTTTTCTCCCTTAATAGGCTAGCGAAGAGAGCAGGGAGTTAGGGGGATATTCTCCCTCTCTTCCTTCTGGACTACATAAGACTATTAGCTTGGCCTGCCATTTTGGCAAGACTATCGGAACAACAGCCTCATCACTTATAAGTGGGAGAGAGGGTTGTTTAGTGGTAAAGATAGACACATGATATATCGGAGTCTCACAAAGATCTATACAAAGGCACAGCAACAGCTACTTCTGTAGAATTTACTGCACCCGTCATATGATATATATTGTACTGTGCTACAGTTATTTTGTTCATTATCTATCCAAACAGATTATAAATTCCTGGAAACTTAGAACTACCTTATATTTTGTATCCCCCATACTATTTGGCACAGGGTTTTGCATATAATTCACAGTTGTTGTTTTTTTAATTCTCAAAGAATGATGCACACTGATATCAACAGATATACCCAAGACTAAGTTACAGAGAGAGGAAAGAAACATATAGCTATAATAGAGATACAGATACCAATATAAGAGACTCAAACACAACTGACTACGTGACTTTTAACTTTCTGCCTGTTTCATCATATCAGAGGGGGAATTATCTAATTATGTCCACTTTTTCTTTTTTCTTTTTGAGACAGGGAATCACTCTGTCACCCACGCTGGAGTGCAGTGGCACAATCATGGATCACTGCAGCCTTAAATTCCCCAGCTCAGGCAATCCTCTGACTTCTGCCTCCCAGGCTGCTGGGACTATAGGCACACACCACCAAGCCAAGCTACTTTATGTATTTTTTTTTTTTTTTTTTTTTTTTTTTTTTTTTTAGAGATGGGGTCTCACTATGTTGACCAGGTTGGTCTTAAACTCCTGGGCTCAAGCAATCTACCCACCTTGGCCTCCCAAAGTTCTGGGATTACAGGCACGAACCACTGTGCCTGGTCTCCTTTCTACTTCTTTTTCTTTTTTCATTGACCATCCTTTCTACTTCTAATAACACAGGGGACCAGAGAAATTACCACTGTACCATGTAAGTACAAAATATTACAGAGACACAGTCTACATCTGACAAACAGACTCACAATTTCTTCCAAACTTCTGGTCTACATTTGCAATTAATTGTTTGATAACCACAGATATCACAGAGACTCCTCAAATGCTTCAATATGAAACATTTGTCCCTCTAATCCTATTCTCAGTGTGGTTCCCAGCTATGTTTTGCATAACTGTCTTCTTAACATGTATCAACTAAGCTGGTATGTTAGAAATGCCTCAGATCCATCTCTCTCATTGCCAATTTCACAGCCTTAATTTAGGCTTTTATCTCTCACTTCTGCAACACTGTTTAAACTGGTGTCCTTGCCCCAAAACTATCTGTTCTTCAATTTCTCTTTCATGCTTTCACCAAGTTTGCTCACCAAAGCATCTCAGGTTTGGAAGGTTACTTTCATCTCCAGTAACAAGAAACTTTACTTTCTACTTTCTGAAGTAGCTCAGTCCATGTACAGAAAGCTGCTATGAACATTCCTAAAGGACATTCACTGACTTGCTCATACATCTTCCATAGGTCCCCTATTACAAAACAAAAGTTCAATTTTAGCATGGTATGTAATACTTTCAACCTGATCTTAGCCTTCTTTTCCAGTCTTTTCTCCCACTGTGACCAAAATCCAAACCCAGAAACATCAAACCACTGGTTCACTCCCAATTCTCTACATACCCCAATTTCAGTGCCCTTGCTCATACTGTTCTCTCAATTTGCAGTGCCCTCTCCCAGGTCCAAAGTAATTTTTCTCTCAACTATGCTGTCACAGTCCTTTGTCTGCATATTGATGATAGCATTTATTATAGTCTACCTTTAAATAACAGCTATTGCTGGCTGCCCTCAGGCTGAGCATTTTCAAAAGTGTTTTTTTTTTGGGGGTGGGGGAGATAAGGTCTCACTGTGTCACTCAGGCTGGAGTGCAGTGGCATGATCTCAGCTCACTGCAGCCTCCACCTCCCTGGATCAAGCGATCCTCCCACCTCAGGCTCCCAAATAGCTAGGCCACAGGCACGCACCACTACCACCACCATGCCTGGGTAATTTTTGTATTTTTGTTTTTGTCCAGACAGGGTTTCATCACTGGTGTAGAACTCCTGAGCACAAGCAATCCCTTTGCCTTGGCATCCCAAAGTACTGGGATTACAGGCGTGAGCCACCACACCTGGCTAAGTTTTCTTTTTCTTCTTTTTAATTTCCGTCCCAGAACCTAATCCACTACATAAAATGTGAAGGCTAAATTAGAAAATCTATATAAAAATGCTTTGTATACCATAATACATTTATAAGTAGGTAGAGTATGTTATTTTAAATTTAATGAAATTAGACTCATTATTTTTGTTCAAGATTATCTTAATTAGTCAGAACTGGCTCCCTTGCCTGGGAGACCAACTGCGAATCATTTTACTAGCTTGGTCGGTTTTCTTTTTGAAAACCTGAAAGAAACAACCTCTCTATAGGCAGGGAAAGGGTGTGGCAAAGAATTACTCTGGGCACGTCCCAGAATAATTCTTAGGAATCACTTACGAATTAGTTAGAAAAGTGAACCTGCAGTCCTTTCATAACTACAATAGCAGATAAGAAAAAACCAACATGGAAACAGTTACTCTGTCTCAAAGACGACACATGGTTAAAAACTGTGGAGAGGGAAGTGTATGGGAGGAGTTACAGAGCGCTAGAAAAAGACTCCTGAGAGTGAGGGTGGGTGCAAACATGTAGCAGGCAACCCGCAGCATCTGTGGGAGGGTGACAGGGCCCTGCCACAATTGGTCAATGCCTGCTCGCCAAGAATGAGATATGCCAAAACTCCCGCTTAGAGTCGCAGAGCGGGTCATGACCTAAACTTGTCCAAGGAACACAGTGGCCTCTAACACTGCAAGATTTCCTCTTTCAAGCAAACCCCAATTCTCGGTCTTATTAAGGAAATGTGACTTCACTGAATGCATTACAAAGATCTTCAGATGTCCTCCTGCCAGGGATTACAGGTTTCACAGTCCGATCACCGAGGTCCAGTAGCTACCTGCAAGCGGAGATCCCCCTGGACGTCCCCTGCCTCACCCAGCAAAGCTGGATTACAGCCCTGCCCTCTCAAGCAAACCTCTGAAAGGGCTTGAGGTGCTAAGAGGAAAAGAGGCCCGAGACTGCCAAGGCATAGGTGGGCTCCCTCCAAGGAGGGAGCCAGGCAGGAGTCACTGCCTGTTCGGGCTAAGGGTACCGCGTAAGGAAAGGCGGCGGGGGCGCGGCCCAGTCCTAGGAGATGCGCCCAACGAAGCAAGTGGAGGGACAGGGTCACGGGATAGGGCAGACACCCGGCTGCTTCTTGTTTGCTAGACACCAGCGCCAGCCCCTGCCCGGCCCTCCCGGTCTCCTAACCGGGGGTCTTAGGCTCCACAGCGCCCCCGACCGCCCTCCGGCACTCCTCACCGTCTCCATTGCAAGAGGCGCCGGCTTGGTTCTCTCGCTTTAGGAAGTTCTCTTGGGGCAGGCCCCGCCCCACATCCGGTGCGGCAACGCCACATCCGCTCGCGTCACGGCAGTCGCCAGACTAGGGCGGAAGACGGACAACCCACCCTTCCGGCGGTGGCGGGCCTCGGTAACCGCCCTCCCCCGGTCCTCGCAGACCGCACGGATCTCGCTGATGGCAAGGGTCACGGGACGGAGTCGCTTGTATTTAAAATGTTCTTTTTTTATTTGTTGTTTAAAAACAAACTTGGAAGAAGCAAAATCCAAAACTTGCCCTTTGCCTCTCGCAACATAAATTATGTACAGTTCAGAATGATCGCTGATACAAAACATGCCAAGGACAGAGGGGCGCTGAGGGTGGAGGGAGAGAGGGCGCTTTAAAAAAGGGAACCATTTCATCCGTTGTTACGAAGGACCAACCTTGCTGTACAGGATACACACAACACAAAATAAAGTTTTCACGGGATTCACACTTGTCAGCGATTTATTTTTTAAAAAGGGGGGAGGGTCCTGGAGGTGAGGGGAGAAGACTGTAAAGGGGAAAACTGAAAATTTGAGTATGTGCGAGTGTAAACCAACCCAAAATACAAACATGGGGGCGGGGGTGGAGGAGTTTGATGCAATTATACAGGCAGGGTACTTAAAAAAAAAACCGACAACCAAAATTCCAACCTTGTAGCTTGGGTCTGAGTTATAGTTTATATAAAAATTAAAAACTGTATAAGGTTTCTTCACTAAATTCTACAGGACTATCGGATACCTAGCATATGCTTACAAAGTCTGCCCCATCCCCTTTTCCCAATCCCAGGGCCCAAGCCCCAAACAGAGCCTGACTCACAGGAGCCAATCTCCCCATCCCTGTAGCCTAGACCTTCTGCTCTCGGAAAAGGAACATCCAAGGGCTGTGGCTTTGAGGGGAGCAGCCCAGTCTCCCTACTGTCTGATTTAATTACAGCGGTTCCTGTGGGAGTGGGGGGTGTTATTCTCTTAAACATTTGCAGCTTGGAACAGTTGAGGAAGCAGCTTAAATAAAAAAATCTCCCTACCCCCAACAATCCACAACCCCCCAAATTCAAAACAAAACAAAAACAAACCTAAAATCACAACAGCGACCAAGCTCCCCCTCCAGCAGGCCCGCCCGTCCACCACCACCAAGCCCACCCCTACACTCCAGACATTTGATTCTTGAAAATATTAATTACAAAATGCCCTTTGCCCACAGCCCCTAGAAGATAACTGCATATAAGCTTCATCTTCATCCCCATGGTTCCCTACCAGAGAGGGGTTTGGGGCCTCACCCACCCCTTACCTACCCCCACCCGCAGGAAGAGGTTCAACTGCAGCACTAGCTTGGGCAGAAAGGGGAAGGAAAGGGAGGCAGGGAACCCATCACCCTCTGGCTCCCCCTGGGGTCAGCTCTCTTTTGTGCGTTATAACATAGTCCAACTATACAACAGGGGGTGGGAATCGCCCAGCCTCTATACCCCCATCTTACAGCAGTCACAGCCAGGGGGTGGGGAGTGGGGTGGGGGGGGGTGAGGAAAAGGGCGGTAGGTTGGGTAATGGAGTGGGCCCCCCCACAAGGGGAGCTCCATGTGTCCGCCCCACGCCCCCCTACCATTTATAAACTGGTTTTGTAAAAAGAAAATAGATATATTTATATAGAATATATAAAGCACAAAAATTAGTAGTTTTACATTTGCTCTCCCCGGGGGTGGGGGGAGAGGGGAGGGTTCTCACCTCCAGCCGGCTCCCCCATGCCCCACAAGACTATGTACAATCCCATGTATAAATAGATAAATACCCCCCACCCTCCCCGCGCTGACACTAAGCTCCCCCACCCCCACATCACCACCCCTTCCCACCAGACCAGCAGCAGTTTGGTGACTGAGGGAAAGTGGGAGCTCCGGGCCACACCCTGCCTCACTAGGTATGGGCATGCCACTCAGGGATCGCCCTCACCCTACCCCCCACCCAACCCATCCAGGGGCTGGAGGGCAAACGGGCTCATGATGGGGTTGGGAAAACAGGAGGGAGATATCCTGGTCCTAGGTTTAGCCCCTCCTGCCCCCATGTCCAGATGGAGAAGGAAGTCCTAGAGCGACTAGGGGCCAGTCATCCCCAATCTTCATCATCATTTGCCTCAACCACCATCCCATGCCCATAATTAAAAACAAAGATGGATTTTTTGTTGTTGTTTTTCTTCCTCCTCCTACCCCCCTTCCACCCACTCAGAAGAGGGCAGTGAGGTGGGGGAGAGGGCTGGGGCAGTAGGGGGCTTGGAGAGGGTCTCACATTTCAAAACAGCAAAAAATCCAACACTTAAATGAGGTAGGTGTGGGTGCGGGGTCTCCTTGCCCGGCTTGCCCAGCTTGCCCTCCTAGGCAGCTGGGCGCCTCTTTCCCGTTCATGTTGCATTTGTCAGAGTGGAAAACAAGGAAACACAACCCATAGAGAGACAGAAACACAGAGGAAAAGAGGGAAACAGAGACAGATCAAGAGGGAAGGGTCTGGGGGTGAGGGTGGGGGCAGGACCCGGCAGGCAGGGCCAGGTGTGGGACCCGGCCTTTGGGATTGTCAAGCTTAGTCAAGTCTCTTTGCAGCCTTGAGTTGGGCCAGAGAGGTCAGTGGGAGCAGCAGGGCTGTGAGGCCCGGCCACACATCCTCTTCCCCCACCCTGCTGCCTCCCAGATGCTTCTGGGTAGTTCCCGGCCCATATCCCCCTCAAACCTGAGATGCCCAATGGCTGCTTCTGTCTGGCCCCTCCTGGAGCTGGGGGCAGAGATGCCAGCCTGAGGGCCGGTGGTGGGGAAGAGGGTTGTCCCTGGTGCCCAGGGTGGGCTTGGCCTAGGGCCCTCTGCCCCAGCCTCCTGCTCCAGGGGCTCCGGTCAGCCGGCAGCCCCAGCCCTGGGTCCTGGCTCTGGCTGCTACCTCTCTTCCCCCTCATCCCTTTCAGGGAAGAGGTTGGGGGTAGGGGGACTCCCCTGCCTGGTAGCCTCAAAGCTTCTTAGTTCATCCATTTCCGACAATTCCAGGCTCCACAGTGGCAGGGGATCTTGTGCTGATCGTCCTCAAAATCAAACTGATAGTCATAGGTTAGCTGAAAAGAGAAGAGGGCAGAATCAATGCTAGCTCCACACAGGAAGAGGGGAGGGCAGAGAAGATAGGAACTGAGGGGCACAGCCTAGGAACCCACATTTAGGGAATGGCAGAGAAGGGGTGAGAGGAGGAGAAGCTGCTTTGTCACTCACTCAGGTTACTTCCTCTCACCTCCTCTCCTTTGGGGATTCGCCGGCTGGAGATGATGATGATTTTGTCCTCTTTGTCAAATGTCACGACTTCAGCCACACAGTTAGGGGCACAGGAATGGTTAATGTACCTGGGCAGTGGGAGAGAGTCAGGGATGTCAGGCAGCTAAGTTGGGACAATTTTGATTCTTTGTTGGTTTACCCCCGAGTGCCACTCTCAGGGACCACTAAATCCCTCCTTCCTCATCATCGCTCACCTGGCAGGGCCGCCGGTCAACGTAGCATCAATCACATGTTCATTGTTTATTCGGAACATGTAGATGCCTCGATTCTAGAAAGGCAGAGGTTGCAGAAGGGACAAGAGTATCAGAGAGTGGCAGCGGTGGCTGTGGGATCAGGTGGGAGACTTGGGCAGTAGGCTTCTCTTGCATGTTCTTCATTTCTCCTGCCTTTCCCTTCTCCCCACCACAGCCTTCTTCCTGCTCTCCTGGGACCAATCCTGCCCCTTGCTCCTTGGTTGAGTGCAGACTATACACAATGGCCCCTCTGCCAGTTCATACCTGCTCCTCATAGATTTTCTCCCGCCGGTTGGCCACCTCGTTCCGAATGATGGTGCCAATGTACTCGATAACCATTGTGTGCTTTTCTAGGTCCTTGGCTGCATAGAGCCCCAGGCCCTGGATACGGGAGCGAGCCAGGTACACGTTGTTCTTCCATTCGGTTCGCAGCCGCCGGTACTGAGATGACTTGGAGTGCACAAACTGCTTGCTGTACGGGGTGTTGGTCTCGCCTGTGAAGGTGCTCTGATATGCCTTAGACATGCTGGTGCTGTTCAGGGTATGGGGCCTGGGAGGTGATACAATCCATGACAAGACAGCTCTCCTTCAGACCAAGCACATACCACCCACTTCCTCCACCTCCTCCTGGGATGTGCAACACACGGGTTAGGGGCATGTGCCGCTGGCAAGCACTGGAAGTGCTGCCTTGGGAAAGGAGTAGAGGCAACTGGGTCTCAGCTCTGGTGAGGAAGCAACTAGCTACAGGGACTCTTCTGACATCCTGGGTGGCACAGAGAGCCCAGTGTGAGGGGTAGGGAGTGGAGGAAGCGGGGGGCACCAATTCCCCTACACTGAGCCTGCTCTCCCATCTCCCACTTCCTACCACTCTCCTGCCAAACCATTCTCAAGGCCATGCGCCTCTGGGAGGTCTTCCCCAGGCAGCCCTGGCCTAGAATTTAAGCTGATGGTTTGCTTGAATGTCTGAATCCTTCCTCCTGCACATATTTGAAGCCCTGAAAATGGGGGTTGTACCACACTGGGCTAGATTTGAATTAAAACTGGCTGTAAACTCACAGCCTAAAAGGTGGTATCCTTTCTTCGGACTATCCCCTTCTCTGACATAACATGGGCTCTGTGCAGATGGCTCAGTGCAGGGGAATGACTGCTGCCTGGCAGGATGCCTTTTACCACCCTAGGGCACCAGCCAAATTCTTGACCATCCCAGAGAAGTGGTTTTCAAATGTTTCTGGTTCTTTTCTTTTTTTATTTAGCAGAAATCTTTACTTTTTTCTTTAACAAAATGTTGATTGGAACTCCAATACATACACTAGATGACAATGGAGCTCTTCTAGTTTAATCCAATTTGGGAAAAGGAGAGTTACGCATGGGAAGCCCAAGTTCTACCCATCAGTTGATGTGTTCCAAGACTTTTTGGAACACACGCACTCACAGTTTGAAAACCACCATTGCAGGGCATCAAGGACAAGGCTGACTAGTGATAGTCTCTGACAATCTACGACAGCCTAGGAGCCACCAAAGGCCTTCAAGAAAGCCCTGCTACCATAGATTCTGCCTCCCTCTACCCAGGGACCAAGATCCCTGGTACACAGGAAGAACAAGGACCCACAGTGAAGAGGTAAGGGTCTGGTCCCAGCTGTGTGACATCTGCCTAGTCACTCAACCTTTCTGGGTCTCAGTTTTCTCAGCTGTAAAATGGGGGTCATACCACCTGCCCTACCTACCTCATAAGGTTGTTGTGAGGATCAAATGAGATAATGGATGTGAAAACGCTTTGAAAAAAAAAGTATAAAGTGCTATACAAATGTAAGGTTTTATTATTTTTCTATTATATCTCTATTTATTTTTGACACCAACATTCATGGGGAAGGGAAGGTGACCCTAGCACTCATGGGGTTATCTGAGGTTTGGGAGAATCGCAGGCCCTACCCTGGAAGTAAAATAGGAAAGAGGTGACCAGGTCCCTTATATATTTCATAAAACGTCACCACTGTTTACCCATTACCTCCCCAAGGTGCCCAAGATAATTCTGCCCTATATCCCAAGTGCATCTGAGCAGGTTGGGAGAGGAGGAAAAGGAAACCCTACTAATAACTGTGTGCCCTCTGATTAGGAGGTCTAGGAGTGATTCCCCAGTTTCTCCATGGGAACTCTGATTTGCATCCTAAACCCTCATAATGGGACCAGAGGATCCCTATCAATACCCACACCCATATCCCTTGGCTCCAGCATCACAAGCTCACCGTTTGTAGTGTGTGAGAATTTTAGGCTCTGATCGGGCACAGCCAGTGGGGTTGATCATGAGTGGCAGCTCCATCAGGGGGTGGCGCCCATAGCGGAATAAATAATTTTGACAGCTCTCCACCCCGGGCAGCTGTGGGCACAGATCGTACTCACCTTAGCCTGAGGTCTTTTGGGGTTAGGCCAACGTTCTCAGTGCCCACTGAGCCCCCCATCTCCCAGCCCCTTCTTACTGATTCAGCTATGCGAAGCACGGCGTGCACCGTCAGCCCAAAGAGCTCCTCGCCCTTCAGATACTCAGGGAAGAGTCGCAGCATGTCAGCCTCTTTTCTCATGGCAGCCACAGGCTCAATGATGCGATTCCACACAGCTAAGAAACAAGGAAGAGAGCAGCCCTCAGAGGCAACTTCTGCTTACTGACCTCCAGTCCCTAAGCCCAATCTAGAACTGCAGTTGTTTTCTGTGGCCTTCATGCTTCCCTGTCATGAAGGTGTGTGGATCTTCTGGATCCTCTCTTGGCCTCCTAGTCCCACTATCTCTTAAGAAGCAGGAGGCTTCCAACCCCAGGGAGTCATCACAGAGCATTAAGACACAAACTCAAGGCCCAGGCAACCCAGCATAGGCTATGGAAGATCCCTAGTGAAAGAGGAGGCATGCTTTGGAGTTGGAAAAACTTGGGTTCAGGTTCTGGTACTGGCCCCCTATGGGACCTGGAGCCAAATAGTCATGTGCAGCTTAACAACATTTCATTCAGTGAGGGATCATATATACAACAGTGGTCTGGTAAGATTATAATACTGTATTTTTACTGTATCTTTTCTATGTTTAGATGCACATACTTACCATATGTTACAACTGCCTACAGTATTCAGTACAGTTACATGCTGTACAGATTTGTAGCCTAGGAGCAATGGGCTATACCACAGAGCCTAGGTGTGTAGTATGCTACACCATCTAGGTTTGTGTAAGTACACTCTATGAAGTTCGCACAATGACAAAATCGCCTAACAATGCATTTCTCAGAATGTATCCCTGTCATTAAGCAATATGACTGTACTTAAATCTAAGACTCAGTTTCTTTAGGTATAAACTGGCCATAATCTTAGTATAATACTTATCTCATAGGGTTGTAGGAACAAAATAAACGATACAAATCACTTAGCTTAGTTTGTGGCGCACAGTACACACTCAAAAAAAGGGACCTGCTCTGTTAGTTTATCATTAACACTAAAACTAAAATCAAAATAATTTTGTTTTTTGTTTGTTTGTTTTGAGATGGAGTCTCACTCTGTTGCCCAGGCTGGAGTGCAGTGGAGCGATCCTGGCTCACTGAAACCTCCGCCTCCCCCCGTTCAAGTGATTCTCCTGCCTCAGCCTCCCAAGTAGCTGGGATTACAGGCACATGTTACCACGCCCAGCTAATTTTTTTTTTTTTGTATTTTAGTAGAGACAGGGTTTCACCATGTTGCCCAGGCTGGTCTCAAACTCCTGAGCTCAGGCAATCCGCCCACCTCGGCCTCCCAAAGTGCTAAGATTACAGGCATGAGCCACTGCACCAGGCCTCAAAATAATTTTGATTTTGTCCAGGGAAAAACAACCACAAGGAACTCGGTTAGGATTAGGTTGGGTCTGGCCGGGCGTGGTGGCTCACGCCTGTAATCCTAGCACTTTGGGAGGCCGAGGTGGGTAGATCACCTGAGGTCAGGAGTTCAAAACCAGCCTGGCCATCATGGTGAAACCTCATCTTAAAAAAAAAAAAAAAAAAAAAAGGATTAGGTTGGGTCAAGTGGATCATAATCTCAGAACTGTTTCCTTTCTTTCCACTGAGGACAGAAAAGGGAAGTAGAATATATGTGAGATTAGACAAGCAAAATATTTTCAACTACGAGGGAATTTGGGGTGACAGAGAGGTTGAAACACTTTCGCTGGGAATTTACAAGAGACCTCCTGCCTGCCTGTGTTGGGGGAAGGAGGACGGCTCACACAGAGGCTACAGGTCCTCTTACGGACACTGGAACAGTGACCCTGGGAGAAACTTTCCCCTTCCATATTATCCATTTCAAGGGCCCAGTGCTCACCCTGGGGAGAGGCGTCAGTGAAGACCAGGTCCTCCAGGCCCTGCTCGATGACTTTGATTACAAACTCTGGCCGCCCGTTGTTCTCACCAATAGAACAGCGATAGCAACAGCGACGGTTGTTGGTGCGGAGGCTCCAATAGATGCGCGTGGCCTCGTAGCCAACGGGATAGAGGGCAGTGGCACTATGAAAGTCAGCCATCTGGTGAGGGAGCAGCTGTCCAATGGCGTGGAACACAAGGCCTCCCACACGGAACATGTGCAGCCGTTCTCCCCGCTGAATGATGCTGGCAATTTGTTTCACCTCGTCCCGCTCAATGTAGACCCGTCGGAAGACAGCAAAAGAGCTCAGCTCTTGCTCACAGGGCCCCTTGATCTTATGCATTGGACACAGCATGGTCTTGTCCTTGAAGAACATGCACTTGGCACGGATGGCACAAGCAAAATGGTAGACGTTGGGGCAACGCATGCGATTGCAGCTGCTGGTGGCACCAGTTCGCTGGCACAGGGAGCACTTGGTTAGCAGTCCTCGGTGCAGGGCGACCTCCACATTCATCAGTGCCCCGCCCTGGGTCTCATACACCTCCGTGGACCAAAGGGCACAGTTGAGGTGCACCCACAGGTCCAGGTCCAGGTTCAGCAGGCGGGCAGGCCCATCAGTGGCCCCGTCACCCTCCTCATGACAGAAACAGCAGCGACGCATGTCTCGAGGTACCTTGTCAGGTCGCAAGGCTGTGCCGAGCTGCTCCATAAACTCTGCCACTTCCCGCTCATCCTCCTGCCGCCCACTGCCCTTCTGGATGGTCAGCAGCAGCCGCAGCCGCTTCCAGCGCACTCCTTTCCATTTCTTGAGGTGAGGGGGATGGGAATCTTCACCTTCTTCAGGGGGCCGGGCACGGGGCTTGGGCCGGGCTGATTCAGGGGATGAGGCCAGTGGCAGAGGTGAGGGGACGGGTGGCTCAGCCAAGGGTTCAGTGGGAAGTTCAACCAAGGGTTCAGCAGGGGGACTGGCAGGAGAGGGTGCCAAGGGGGAAGGGGGCGGGGAGGGTTCTTCAGGAGGTGGGGCCGAGAGCTGACGCACATCCAGATTGGAGACATTGTAGGTATAGCTGTGCTGGGTGGGTGGCTCTGGGGCGGGGCTCTCCTGTAGGAGGGTGCCCTGTATCGTTAGTGCCAGCTCCTCATCTAACTAGCTCCCTTCTTCCCCTCACCCATATCCCACCCTCCCAAAAGGCCTCCGCATTCTTTGCTCTACACAGCGCCTTTTATCTTTTTCTTTTTTATTTTTTGAGACAGAGTCTCGCTCTGTTCCCCAAGCTGGATCCAGTGGCGCAATCTGGCTCACTGCAACTCCGCCTCCTGGATTCAAGGGATTCTCGTGCCTCAGACTTTTGAGTAGCTGGGATTACAGGCATGCACCATCACACCTGGCTATTTTTTGCTTTTTTATCTATTTAGTAGAGACAGGGTTTCGCCACGTTTGGCCAGGCTGGTCTCAAACTCCTGGCCTCAAGTGATTCAGCCACCTTGCCTCCCAAAGCACTGGGATTACAGACATGAGCCACCACACCTGGCCGGCAGCCCCTTTTTTCTAACACCCACCCCTTTTTCTCCCCCGAACTTACCTGTTTGAAAAGGCTCAAGATGTCTAGTTGGCTCTTGAGGGTATAGCCAGGCAACACTGCATCAAACTGCTTCAGCCAATCAGGGCCAGCATCTGGGCTCTTGCCTCCCAGACCCTTTTCCTTCCCACCTGCAGAAAGGAGTGAATCAGAGCCTCCCACCAGAATCATTCCTCTCAGGTCCCAAAGGGCTTCCCTGCCACACTCACCAGGACCCTCAGCTTCCCCCTTCTTAGGCTCAGTGCCCGCCCGGGCGGGGCTCTCTGGGAACAGCACCTCATAGGAATTAGGGATCTTCATGCTTAGCAGCTCTGCCACTGCCACCATCACACCATTCAGGTTCTGCCAGGGAAGGGATGGGAGAGACATGTCAGCCAAGTGTCTGAGGTGAGCTCTACAACCAGCTGGGTGGGGACAAGGACACCTAGAACCCACTTCACAGGGGAGGAGTTCTATCCTGTGTCAACCAGCTCTTTTCCCACACTTCCCTCACAGCAGCCTTTCTCAAGCTGCTGTGGACACTGACGGGAGCTCCACGAAAAGGGAACTACGTCAACTACGTTTAAGAAATGATGCATGTTCTATCCATGACTTGGAGGCTCATGATACGCGTTAGCAAATTAAAGGACCTGAAACCCATATTGTCGTTTTAACTGGGTTTTCCAACTTTCTTTGACCACAAAAGCCCATTAATGTTTTCAAAACAGCTGACAGAGTCCCACCAAATCTGACTGGGGCAACGCTGTCATGTAATATCTGTGGCATTCCACACACATGTGCTCCTTAGTTGTTGACTTGTCTATCTTTACCATGGGACTATCAGCCCCTCGAGGGCAGGAACCACGCTTCATTTATGCGAATCCCATAGCCTCTAGTCCAGGCTTTCATGTACAATAGGTACCCAGTACATGTTTTTGAACAACTACATTCTTTCCTCTCCAGACAAATTCCAGGGACTGCCCACTGATCAGGTTCCCCTCAGCCTTGAGGTACCCCTGGGACACACCTTGGCTGCAGCAGCAGAGACTGTGAGCATGACTGACACCTCACTTCCTTTGCCCTTTTCCCAAGTCGTGGCAGGCAGCTTTCCAGGGACCTCCAGGTCAAGAGCCCCATAAGGTTTGGTATCTGGGAAGACTGAATGAGAAAGAGGGATTTGTGTAACATTTGGCCGACTCTCCACCAGCTTTGGACAACCCAGGTAAACTGGGCCTGGCCCACATCCAGAGTAGTACGTACCTGGGATGCTGGCCCGAGGAATGAGGGGGATGACAGGGGAGAGAGCCCGGTCCTCTGGCTCCCACCGGCCTGAGCCCAGATGAGGGAAACGAGGGGCCTCCTCCCCCAGAATGCTCTCAGGGGATGAAGCTGGCACAATGCTATCAGGAGAATCGCTATCGTCATCACTCTCCATCCTGTACACCAGAAGTAGACATTTGTTGTTACAGCCCTGCAGACTCCCCCCTCCCAAACCTAGAGATAAACAGATGTCTTCACCTTACTTGAAATCTGCCACTGGCCAACGGAAGTATGAGGCAACCTGTCCCCCACCCTCGTTCCTCATCCCCATTTCCGGCCCCACCTCTACCTGACATCCTCAGTCTGATTGTGAGGGGGTGTAGGCAAGGCAGCCAGTAGGTCTAGACTCTTCACCTCTGTAGTATCTGAGGGGTGGGTAGGGAAAAGAAAAGTCAGGTGAGAGTGGCCAGAGCTGATGGTACCTTCTTCCCAATATTTTAGGCCTAATTAGCATGAGATCTCATCTATCATGATTTCACTGTCCTCCCACCTACCAGTTTGGGGCAGATAAGCTGTATTTATTGAGTCTGTTCTGCATGCCAGGCACTGGCTTTATTTAATTTATTTTTTTTTTGTAGAGCCGGGGTCTTGTTATATTGCCCAGGCTGGTCTTGAACTCCTGGCCTCAAGCAGTCCTTTAACTTGGCCTCCCAAAGTGTTGGGATTACAGGCATAAGCTACCATGCCTGGTGGCAGTTGGCTTTAGATAACACTCTTTGTTTAGTCATTTAACAACTCCATTAGGTGAGTACTATAATACCCATTTTACAGTGAGGAAACTGAGGCTCACACAAGTCAATCAAGTTACTTGAATACAGTAACACAGTTGAATGCAGCAACCAGAATTCTAATCCAGATCAGAGTCTAGACCCATACTCACTAAAGCTGGACTGTTCCTTCTATACAAAGCTTCATAAAGATGCTCCCTGCCACCCACCTCCCCTATTGCCTTTGCTCTAGATTCCAAATGTCCATTCTGGTCTCCAAGAAATCAGTCCTGAAGAGGCCCTTCCTATCTCAGGTGCCCTGTCATGTAAACACACAGGACAGCACACAACGCACTCATTTCTAAACTGTACAGACACTAACTGGCTTGGACTCCGGCCACCAAACCGCACCAGGGGTGGTGTCTGCTCTTGACTTACCCCTCAGTGCCCCTTCAGTATCCCGGGCAGAGGCAGCATCCTTGGGGTGCTCCCCCAGCTCTTCAGATGGGGTGACGCCATTCACCATCTTCTGCTGCACCGATGGGGGTGGGGTGGGGGGCAGCGACGAGGGTGGTGTCGGCGGATTACTCAGGTTATTCTGGGGGGTGGGGGGGTGGGGTGTTGTGTGCAAGATGGCATAGGGAGACTGATATAATCTCCTGGTCCCACTCTATATCACCAATTTCCTCAAGTTTTCCATTCCCACCCTCACCTTCCCAAGAACTTCACTATTCCCAAAAAATATTGCCATTTTTCTGACCTTGGTAAGCAGCTGGGAATAGTAGTCAGGGCCAGTGGGCAGCGCCCCACTTCCAAAGGCCCCCTTCAGCTGGCTCTGCCCATTGACTGGGCAGCCACTGCCAAAGGGAGCGAAGAGGCTAAAATTGGCGGTGATAGCAGGCTCCATTAGGGGCAGCAAGGACAGCTCCTACAAGGGGCAAGATGACAAAGTTGAAAACCTACAGCGTTTACGGCTCTGTCATTACACAGCTGGGGGACAGGATGCCCCCTATCCTGGGATGGGACCAGGGGACTGGCTCCTGGGGGGTCACCTGTTTCAGCTGTTTCAGCAAGGCCTCGCTGGCCCTGACCCCGTCCTCCTTCCGCAGCTTCTTTCGGGAGCTCACCAACCTGTCGCTTGCCTTCTGTACCCGCTTGGGCTTTGGTGTCAAAGGCTTCCTTGCTGCTGCATCCTAAGCCAAATAAGCCCAGTGAAGACTGCTACCCTCCTCCTCAGAGCCCTCATCTCTGTCTGACCCAGACTTGCTCATTCTGCATTCCCCCACCCCAATGGCTCCAGGCCCCACTCTACCTATTCCACTCTAGCCAGAGAACTCACCTCCTTGTTGCTGGGGGTACCCTGTAGTTTCTGCTCCAGCCCAGCCAGCTTGCTGTCAATATGCCCGTTGATCTCAGCTCGCAGCCCCTCGGACCCCCGCCCAGTGCTGAGTTGCACATTCTTTGCTCGGAGTAGCTTCTGCAAGAGCAGATGCCCAGCTTCTGAGCGAGGGCCTGCCAGCAGGAGGTGGTTGCTGGTACCTGGTGCCCCTATGGGCTCCCCATTGGCCTCCCTCTTCACTGACTGGGTTCCCAGGGCACATGACTCTTCCCGAGGCTCTTGCTTGATGCTGAGTTGGGGTGCCTCAGGCACTACCTGTCCATTCACCTGGTCCAGATGCTCCGGTACCAGGCTGCTCTGTTCTGGCTTCTGAGCTTCTGCTAGGTTGTCTGGGGGATCCCAAGATCCCAGACCCTTGCCAAACAAGGTATCTGCAAGCTGGGCAGCAGCAGGTGAGACCCTCCCAGGAGGCAGCTCCAAGGTTGGCCCCTGGGCTTTGGGGGTCCCTGGATGAGTGGGAGGGAGCTGGGCCTCAGTGGGAAGCTGGGAGCTGGGGGAAGGTAATTGTGAAGGTCTCTTTGGCTCTTGAGGGCTGGATGGTGGAGGTGTGGGATGGACAGGGCCAAGGACTGGTCCTGTAGATAAGGCTCCTGGTGGGGCAGGGAGCCGGGGTGGGCCCTGAGGTCGAGGCCCTGTCCCCAGCTCCTGGAGGGGGCCTGTCTGGGATCCAGGGAAGCCCCCAGGTTGGGGTTGACAGCCTAGGAGGCCCTGGAGGGGAGAGGCCTGGGTCCCAGGCTCCTGGTAGGGTGGGGTCTGGCGTACTGCCTGACTCTGCTGCAGCTGCCGCTGCATGAGGAGTGCCTGTAGCTGTTGCTGCTGCTGAGGACTTAAGTGCCGCAGCTGTGGGTTTTTGGCCAGGACTCCTTGGAGCTGTGCTCGAAGCTGACCCACTGTAGGCATGACTCCAACCCCAGGCAAACCCTGCCCAGCCTGGAGGACAGGTCCTGGTTTGGGAGGTTGTGGTCCTGTATTATTTTGCATGGGCCGCTCTAGTATGGGCTGTTGGGGGCCCAGAAGGTTCTGAGTCATGGGCCCAGGCTGCTCCCCTAAGGAAACAGAAGGCTGAGCCAGCAGGTGGGGCATAGATGAGGCCTCAGAAGATGATCCACTGCCCAGCTGCCCATGGCTTCCTCCACCTGCTGTGTGGAGCAGGCTAACTTGCTGCTGCTGTTGTCCTGGAAGCCTCAGTGGTGGCTGCAGCTGCAAAGAGTTGGGCTGAGGCTGGGCCTGGGGTTGGACAAGGAGGAGTTGTGAGTCCCCGGAGAGTGAGGGCTTTACCTCTCCTGGTTCAGTGGCCATTGACTCAGGGGTAGTTCCTATTGCTAACTGCCCTCGATGATGTGTAGAGGGCCCCTCAGTGACCTCTGAAGAAACAGTAGTCTCTATGGTGTTTTGTTCCTTGCCCGTCAAGAGGAGGGTTGGGCCCAGGGATCCAGGGCTTGAAAAGTGTTGAAGAGGCTTTACTGGCATGCCAGGGCCAAGTGCCACCTGCTGCTGCTGTTGTTGCTGAGGAGATAGTAAAGTTCGACTCTGGTTTAAAAGGCCCTGCTGCTGCTGCTGCTGCTGCTGTTGAAACTGCTGCTGCTGTAGCTGCTGCTGCTGTAGCTGCTGCTTCTGCTGTAGCTGTTGCTGTTGTAGCTGCTGCTGCTGCTGCTGCTGTTGAAGCTGCTGCTGCTGTTGCTGCTGAAGTTGCTGTTGCTGTTGAAGTTGCTGATGCTGTTGCAGCTGCTGCTGCTGCTGCTGCTGCTGCTGTTGAAGCTGTTGTAAAGAGCCCATGGGCTGAGTGCTCAGTTTGGGCTGCCCACTGTGTGACATTAGACCCTGCTGAAGATGGGACAGCCCTGCCATGGACCCTTGCTGTTGGTGCTGTTGTTGCTGCTGCTGCTGGGCTGTAACCAGCCTGTGTCCCATAAGCCCCTGACCCTGCTGTGCCAGCTGGGGGGAACTGAGCACCCGGGACTGGGTCATAAGCACCTGTCTGTGAGGGCCCTGGGGGGCCAAAGCTCCAGGGTGCTGCTGCTGCAACACGGCCACTTGGGCAGGGCCTAGTATGCCCTGGGGGCCCTGGGGTGGTTGAGGGGACAGCTGTTGGACCAGGAGACCTTGGTGGCTGCTGGGAGGCAGAAGCCCCTGGGGCTTGGGACCCAGAGCCTGGTTTGTCTGTACTCCAGGACCCTGCTGCTGTTGCTGCTGGACTGCCACCTGTCCTAGGAGGTGCTGCTGCTGCTGCTGTTGCTGTTGCTGCTGCTGCAGTTTCTGGGCCAGCTGCATACGTTGTTGCTGCAGCTGCAGCTGCCTTTCCTGTAAAAGCCTTGAATCAGGTCCGAGGCCTCGAAGAGCAAGGTTGCCAGGGAAGAAGGCTCCTGAGGGGCCAGCCAGGGATCCAGCCCCACCAGAATGTTGCTGTTGCTGCTGTTGGGCCAGAGCTGTGTTAAGGAAGGGGCCACCAGGCTGTCCAGATAGTGCCATACCCCCAGGGGGCAGGCGAAGACCTCCAGCTTGCCCACCCGGAGGCCCCTGTGGTGGCTGCAGCCCATGGCTAGGGAGCAGCTGACCAGGGAGCTTGGTGAGTAGCCGGGGACTCTGGGAAGGGCTGAGAGCCAGCACAGCTGAGTGTTGTTGCTGTTGCTGCTGCTGCTGCTGTTGCTGCTGCTTGTTCCGATATTCTGCCATGAGATTAGTGTGTTCTTTCTGCTGTTTCCGGACCTAACGTGGGAGGGTCAGAGAGGTCAGGCTGAGGCATGCTCCCCCCGTGCCATCCCTCTTCCCTGCCTTCTGGGTGCTAGGCTGAAGTTTGCTTTCCCCACCTGATCCAGCTGTTTCTGGATCTTGCTCTGCTGCTCTGTAACCAGCTTGAGCTTCTCAGCATCAGCTTCTGGGAACTCACGGCCAGCTTTTTTGGCAGTGCGCTGCTTGGCACACAGAGCCTTCCGGGACTTGCGGTGTACACCAATCTGCTCCTCTAGCACCTTCAGCTGCATCTGTAGGAGCTGCTGGGTATGGAACAGCCACTCCTCATACTGCCGCTGGTCAGCTTCATCTATGAAAGGAAGCTGGGTGTCAGGACCTGCAAAATGGTAATCCCTATCCCTCTTCCTCTATCTGTCCCAAACCACTTCCCTGCACCTTCCTCCCGTGCCCCATACTCACTGATAACTCCCTGAGCAAAAGTGGGCGGGTTGGGACGAGGCTGGGAAGGATCACCAGCACTATGCTCCTGCAATGAGAGAGGCTGTTAAATGGTCATTGTTCCCTGCCAGGCCCTAAGAAGGGTGGCCCAATGGCAGAAAACACAAGTTCCTACTCCCACTTGACCACTTACCTGGCCACTCCCAGCTGCCACATGGTTCTGCAGATCACTGCCAGGTCCCCCCGAAAGCCTCTGAGCTAGCAGAGACACTTGTTGCCTGGAGTCCACCAAAGCACAGAGGGTAGGTGTTGGCAATGAAAAGGTTGGAAAGCAAAGACGTGGGACAAGTAGGGAGGAGGACCAAGAAGGGTGTGACTGGGAAAGAAAAGGGCCATTCCCATTCCAGCCCTGAGTCTTACCTGTTCATACCAGGTGCCACCCCAATGCTGCCTTGAGCCATCACTTTCTTGATGCCTTTCAAAGCCACCATCTTGGCCTTTGCAATGGGATCAATGATATCTTCTGCAGCAAATTTGTCCAGGTCTGGAGAGGGAAGAACCAAGTGAGCTGGGTTATGGGGCCAATGCTCCATTGAATATCTGAGATTCCTTTCAACATCCTGACCTCCACCAAGCCAGGCAGAACAATGGCATGACGAGGCAGAAAGGCCACTGAATTAGGAGCCAGTCTGCCTGGGTGAATCAGCTCTATTATTCACAGGATATGTGGTCCTGTTTTTACTTGCACTGTGCTAGGAAAAGGGGCTCCATAAAAATTTGTTGAGTCAATCTGTGTTATTTCACCTCAGTTTACCCCTTAATTTGGTAGAGATGATGATTTCTACTCCATCTACCTCACAGCGGTGTTGAGAGGATCAAATGTGACAAGAATATAAATACACTTTATGACTTGGAAAGCATTCTTCAAATATAATGTTCTTAGTGCAACTAGCACATCTCAAGAACCCAAGACGCTGGCACTGTTGCAAAGCCCTAGTTTCCAGAGCTGTTTTGGGTACCACATACATCACCTGTAGTCCACTCTCCTGTCTGTCTAAACTGCTGGGCAAAAAAGAAGAAACAAAGCACCACCAAAAACTTAAGTCTTCCTAAAATCCTACACTTTGCATATTTCTCCACTGCTCAGAAAACTTAACTGAGCTCCCACTTTCTATTTTTTTTTTTTTTTTTTTAAGACAAGTCTTGCTGTTGTCACCCAGGTTGGAGTGCAATGGCACAATTTTGGCTCACTGCAACCTCGGCCTCCCGTGTTCAAGCGATTCTCCTGCCTCAGCCTCCCGAGTAGTGGGGATTATAGGCATCCGCCACCATGCCCAGCTAATTTTTGTTATCTGTAGTAGAGATGGGGTTTCACCATATTGGCCAGGCTAGTCTCGAACTCCTGACCTCAGGTGATCCACCCAGTTTGGCCTTCCAAAGTGCTGGGATTACAGGAGTGAGCCACTGCGCCCAGCCAGAGCTCCCACTTCCTAAAGGACTAACCAAACTCCCTCTCCTGGAATTCTGAGGCAGTAAACAGTTAAGAGGAATACCGACCAGACTTCAGATCTAGTTCTGTTAGCTGCTGCGTAATCTTGGACAAATTACTTAACCTCCACCTCTGTTTCCACTTCTGTAATCAAAGATAATATCAATACCTACTTAGTGAGTCTGCTGTAATTATTAAATTGGACAAAAAGTGCAAAGTGCTCAGTAAACTACTTGGCAAACACTAATTACTCAATAAATGCTATTACAATTTGAGTATTTTTCAATCTGGCCCCAACCTTACCTCACCAAAATTATGTCACTTACTTCACACTCAACAGTCTACTCCAGCCTCACCATTTCACTTACTGTTCTTGAAACACACTATAGGTTATCCCGCCATTACAACCTCACCGAACTTTTTCATCTATCCTGCTTTATTTTGTTTTCTTTTGACAGTCTTGCTCTGTTGCCCAGGTTGGAGTGCAGTGGTGCGATTTTGGCCCACTACAACCTCTGCCTCCTGGGTTCAAGTGCCTCAGCCTCTCAAGTAGCTAGGACTACAGGTGTGCACCACCACACCCAGCTAATTTCTATATTTTTAGTAGAGATAGGGTTTCACCATCTTGGCCAGACTGGTCTTGATATCAAGTGATCCGCCCATCTCGGCCTCCCAAAATGCTGGGATTACAGGCGTGAGCCCCCACGCCGGGCCTCAGCTGCTTTTATTTGCACCACTTATCTTCAAGTCCTAAGCTTTCAACTTCACCACAGCCACAAAGGCTCTGCTAATTAGGCTTCATACATTCATTCAATTTACTCAAACGTCTGCTATATGCCTCCTATATGACAGCAACTGTTCTCTCTCTTAAAAGCTACAGTGTTTCTGCCTCTACCACTAGTATGTTATTCAGCCAAAGTTCTTTGTGTCTCACCTTAACCAGGGATTATTTTAGGTCTCTAGCCTCAGTGCCCATTTAGTGATAACAATGATCACCCCGAGCAACTTGGCTATGTTACCAGCTGAGGTTACCTGTATCTGGAAAGAAGCTGTTTGCCAGTTGCTGCTGCATTGCCAGTTGCTGGGGCTTCATGCATATGGAAGGTGGCATGGTGCCCATGGGCTTCTGTGATAGCACTGGCTGTGAGCTCTGCTGGGGTACCAAGCCTGCCTGCCCTCCATGCTGCCCACTCAGCATATGCCCTTGATTGGACACCATAGCCATGGATGGGGCCAGGCGCTGCTGGAGGGCATGAGCTGGTGGCTGGGTGGGCATCAGTGGTTGAGCCAAGCCTGGCTGTCGGGCACCTCCAAGACCCAGGGAAAGCTGCTGTTGGGACCCAGCCAAACTGGGAGAAGAGCCCTCATGTGGCAAAGACATGGCCTGGGCAGGGCCTGGTGTAGACAGTAGGGGCGGCGGCTGCTGCTGCTGCTGCTGCTGCTGTTGCTGGATAGGCTGCAACTGTGCTGAAAGCTGCTGCTTCTTCTGCAGCTCCTTCTTCTCATGCTCCAACAGGTCCTCAATGAGCAGCGGCAACTCGCTGGCTACCAGTGAGCTCTCCATCTTGTCTAGCTCATCCCCAGATGCTGCAGGTTCACCAGGCAAGGTCAGGGCCCCACTCTCGAGCTCAAACTTTTCCAGCAGGGAGGATCCTCCTGGGCCACTCAATGGGCTGGGGGTTAGCAGGTGAGCTGGTGGTCCTCCTGTGGCCCCAAAGGAACCTTTCTCAGCTGTGTGCCCACTGCTAGGAAATGGCCCTGTGCCCATCCGGGTATCCCGGCTGTTCATCACGCTCTGTCCTGGCTTCAGCCCCAGGCCAAGGGAATTGGCAGCAGGTGCAGGCTCTACCTTGGGGGTAGCAATGGTGAACTGACAAGGGGAAGGGTGGCGCCCACCCTCCTCCACCTTGGGCTTCACCTCAGGGAGCACAGATGCCAGGCGGGGCTCAGAGGCATCAGCAGCAGGGGGAGGGCGCTCCTCAGGGCCCAAGGGTCCTGGCTCCACCCCCTGCAGCAGGGCCTCCCGTTCAGCCTTCTCATTAGCCGATTCTACCAGCCTCAGGTGCTCATTGAAGATGTCCTTCTTGTCCCCAGTGTCCAGCTCAGGATCAGTATATGCCAGCAGGTCAAACTCGTCTCCATTGAGCAGGTCATCCAAGTGGGGGTCATTGGTCTCCAGGTTTTCTAGGGTGCCCAGTTCATCATCACCCTTGGCCACATCCACACCCAGACCTAGGTGAGCAAGCTCTTCATCATCCTCTAGGGCCTTGTGGGCATCAAAATCATCATCCAGCTCAGGATCTTCACAGGGCAACTTCCCAGTTTCCAGGGCCAGAGGAGGAGGGCGGCCAAGCTCCGTGCTTGAAGGGGGCCGGGTGACCAGCTCCAAGCCAGTTGGCAGGGTAGGACCTTTGGTATGGGGTGTTGGATGGAGGCTGTTGTTCAATTCAGGGGCCGGTGGGCCTGAGGGTTTCTGTGGGGGAAGACCTGTTACCGCCAGGCCCCGAAGCCCTTCAGGAGCCAGTCGGTGGGGGTCCTCACTTACAGGGTAAAAACGAGGTCTTTGAGGTGGGCCCTGACCAGGAAACTGAGTTCCCCCAGGTCCCAGTCCTTTCTGTACATTGTGCCGCAGCTCAATGAACTGGGCAGGACCAGCTGGACCAGGCACTGGCTCACCAGGGCCTGGCAGGCGGGTGGGAATTCCTGTCAAGGGGGAACCTAGGGCTTGGCGGCCAAGTTCAGGTCCAGGAGTTGATGGAAAGCGAGTTGACATGGCAAATCGCATGGAGGTTGCTGCTGTTGCCTGTTGCTGCTGCCACAGCTGTTGCTGTTGCTGCTGTAAGGGCAGGGACCCAGGATAGGATGCTCGCTGATAGAAAGCTTGGGAGCCTCCTACCAGTTGCCTGAAAGAATACACAGTAGTCAGTAAGATGAAATCAGATGAAAAGTGGCAGGAACATAGGCTTAGAGCAGTGAGGAAGGACAGAATTAATGTAATGGAGGGGAAAGGAACGAGGAAGAAGAGAAAGTGATACTGGAGAAGGATTAGTGAGACAGGAAAATCACAGCGGTATGCAACAGTGATAAAATCCATCCTCCTTGGTTTACCCCCAGGGAACCTCTCGGAGACTCACCGGCTGTTCACATCCATAGAGGAAGGCGTGGCTGGTGGAGGTGGCCGGGAGAGTCGGTCATCACTAGGGAAGGACCCTGGCCCCAGAATGGGGCCACTCAGCTTGCTTTGAGGCAACCCCACAAGGCTGCTCTTGTCCTACGAGAGACAAGGTAGATGAAGGTGGGGCAACCTTCAATATCCTGGCCCCACTATCCCTTGCCACTCTACCTACCTGTGATCCAGCAAAGGGGGTCTGGCCTCGATTCAGCTGCTCAAAGGCAGGGCTGCTGGGCTCAGCACTCCAGCTGCCTGGAGGCCCCACTGCTCCTGCAGCTGCTGCAGCTGTTTCCTTCTCCTGCCGCAGGGTGTTGCGCTGGATCTGCTGCCGAATCAGCAGCTCTCGTAGTCGCTGGCGCTGTGCAGAAAACACAGAAGAGGAATAAGCCCATTCTACTCTAATCATGGGGCTGACCCAGAGACAGCAGCAATATGAGGGGCTTAGCTCCAGAGTGTCACCTTACCTGCCGTTGCTTCTCCAGCTCTGTCTGGCTAAGGCCGGACATGCCTGGGTCCTGGGTACCTGGGAGTTCAGGTGTCGCCAAAGAGCTACCCATTCCAGCCCCTGGGTCTTCTCGCTTTTCGACAGGAGAGGTGATGCCTGATCGCTGTGAGGCTCCATGGGACAGGTAGGGGAGGGATCCGTCGGGTACAGGTGGAGGCAGAACTGACGGGGGGCGGAGCGGGGACAGCCCATAGCTCTCCCCTGTGGACCCGCTGCTGGGCCCCAGGGGGCTGCCCGATGGGTGGAAGTTCCCTGTGGCTACTGCGTAGTTTGTGCTTTGAGGCTTGCCCAAGGTGGGGCCGGGCCCAAAATGGCTGTTGATCCCATGGGGTGGCGGGAGACCAGGCTGAGGGACAGGGGGCTTTAGGGAAGGTTCCCCTACCGCCTGAGGGAAAGTGAAACGCATGGGAGAGGGGGTGCCCACAAATGCGCCCGTCCCAGGGGACCGGACAAAATTGGGGGGCTGCCCACTTGGGACCTTGGCATGGAGCTCACCTGCTGGCCCTGAGGGCAGGGCTGCTGGGAAACCCCCAGCCCCCAACGCAGTGTGGGCTAGAGACCCAGCCTTAAAGGCAACTTCAGGGGGCTGGGGGCGGGGTGGCTTATGCAATGGGGCAAACGGGTCACGGGACTGAGGGCGTGAAGGTGGGCGAGAATATGGGTCAGGGGACTGGAAGCGAGGGGTAACGGGGGACGGGCAGAAAGCTTCAGCAGACAGAGGACGGGGTGTCAGTGGAGACTGGGAGCTGGACTGGGACTGAGGACTGGCAGGCACTCGGGAGAAAGGGTCAGAGGGCAATGAGCGAGGGGGCAGAGCACAGCAGCTCTCAGGGGGTGGAGGCTGGGGCCGAGGGGTCAATGGGGGCTGGGCATAGGGGTCAGGGTAGGAGCCAGGGCGGAAGATGTCTGAGTGACTTGGGGGGGAAGGGACCAAAGCCTGGGCAGGGGGTGGCTCCTGAGGCCTTAGGCCCAAGCCCGGGCTCTGGGGCTCTACCTGAGATGCCCGAGGGGTCAGGGGGGCTTTGAAGACATCAGATGTCTTTAACTCCAGGCCACCCAGATGGGGGCCTGAGGAGGGTGAGTCAACAAAGCCCAGGTTTGGGGGCCCATAGCTAGGAGAAGATGCCCCAAGCTCTTCCTTCTTTACCTCGAGAGCCTTCCGAGACTCCCCAAAAGGTGGGGGCGAGAGCAGGGGCTCGGAAGCCTTGCCTCCCCCTACCCCAGGGCTCTCAGGCACAGCCAGATTATCCAGCGAGGGGCAGCGGGGTTTGAGGAAGGGGTCAGGTGTGGAGGGCTGGTGGCGGGGGGTGCCAGGTGGGGTAGTGTGGAATTCCCCTGGCTGACCAGTCCCCGGACGAGATGAGTTGCCCAGCATCGGGGGCTGCACGGGAGCCCCCGTCGGACTAGGATAGTGGGGATAGGTGGGTGGTGCTGTGGGGAAGCGGGGCTCCAGGGAATAGGCGGGGGCCAGTCCAAAGGGGTCCTGCGAAGGCACTTGGGCGGGCACCTGGGGTGGGAGCTTGAGGAAGAGCTCACCAGGCGAGTCAGGGCCGGGCACCGAGCCCGCCGGCGGCTTCAGGAACCCGTCCGCAGAGGTAGACAAGCCGGCGGGGGTAGTGGGGCTGCCAATGAAAATGGTGGGGGCAGCGGCGGGGGGCGGGCTGCCCAGTGCCCCTGGCTGGGGGGGAATGCGGAGATGTAGGGCCGGTCGGTCAGTCTTACGGGCTATGTCGCCCACCTTGGTCTGCTTGTTGATCTGGCTCTCAGCCTGCTATAGGGGGAGACCAGGCACAGACCAGTCAGGCTGCTGCAGGCAGGTCCCATGTCCCTCCACCCTCAGGAGAAGCCACCCAATAGAGGACTGCTATGCCCCAGCCCAGCCCCACTCACCTTCTGCACCTTGTTGATGCGGTGAGCTGCCCGGTTATCTTTGGCCTTTTGCTGAGGGATATGGGACACAGCCTTAGGGCCCAGTGCTCAGCCTCATGCCCCGTCCCCAATGCTGTACAGTGTTTTCACACTCCCTACCCAAAAGCTGATCCCTTCTGGCCCAGCTGCTTTAGGAGTGGGGAGTGGAAAGAACTGACGTAAATTACTCAAAGATCCCTCCCTCCCTCTCAGTTCTCATGCTGACCCATGTTCCTTTCTGTCTCACCAGGTAGGGGGCTTTGTCTGCTGCTGGAACCTTTCTCCAGAGCTTCATGATTTGTTTGCAACGGCTTGACCAGTCTGGAGGGCAGAGAGAGGGCAGAGATGACCCTTCCACCTGCCACATTGCCAGGCTGTCTCGCTTGCCCTTGTCCCACACGTACCTGGGTAATCTTGCTTGAGATTAGGAAAATTAATGTTGGCATAGAGCACGGGCGAGATGGTGGACAGCTGGCCCAACTCCTCATCCTTCTCCCAGCGCTGAAGACTCCGCTGGTTATAGGAGAGTCCGTCGCCCTCACCCTCTGTGGTGGGGGTTGTGGGAGTGGAGGGCGTGGTGCCGCCTGAGCCTGTCCAGGGGCTGTCTGGCTCACCGGGTTCCGGGCTAAAGAAGCCCCCGCGCTCCCTGGGGCGCAGGGGCAGAGAGTCACAGCAGGTAGGGATGCCAAGTCCCACCCCAGACAAACTGCCCAGAGTCCCAGGCCACTGCCCTGCCCCCCAAAGAGGAGAGCCCCTAATAAGGGAACGGGGAGGAGAGCGGAAGTGCTGCAGGAGTCCAGGGGAGGCGAGGCATGAACTCAAATGGAGGGAAAGGACAACGGGAACTGCCCACGAAGGTTACACAGAGATACCAACCTAGAATCCAGGAACGGGGACTGGCAGAGGCCTGGGTAGGAATCCATTGGGCTGCTGGAGGGGAGACTTCCCAAAGGGAGTCCACCTACAAGATGGACAGGATCAGAGAAAAGAGAGCAACTGGCCCATCCTGGAGGCATGCTTGGTCATGCCAGTCTTCAGACCACTCCCACCCGTATCACCTTGAAGAAAGGGCCTCTGCAGTGGCGTACGGCTGCCTTCCAGACCAGGCGTTCCACAACCCAGATGCTGCTCTCGTTCAGAGCCCAGAACATCCTTGAAGAGCTGCTGCAGGTCCTTGGATTCCATCTTGGGCAGTTCTGTGGGGGAATGAAGGACACTGTTGAGGAAGACTGAGAAGTGCAGGTGACACCACAGGTCTACAAATGGTCAAGGCCAGGGAAGGTGCCCAGGACTCCCCACCAGAGCAGCTGTACAGATCACAGTCCCACAGATAGGACCTTCTTCTCCCACAGAAAACCCTTAAACACAAAGAGGTGCGGGTCACAGCCTCACCTTCTGTGGAAATCCTGTCTAAGTCAGAGCTAAGCATCCCTTCACCTGGGGTGCCTGGTTTCTCAGGGTCACTGGGCACTGGGGATGCCTTCACACCCCCATCCTCAGGTCCTGTAAATGCCAGGAGAAACCCATGGGTCAAGGACAGCATGGAGGTACCACAATGGCCACTCTGAACTACAGAGGGCCATGGGACAGTTTCCAGCCTCCAACCCTGACAATGTTCAGGGGCATGGCAGAGTGACAGAGGCAAGGCCAAGACAGGACACAGTACCCCCGGCAGCTCTCACCTGGTGTATCAGCCTTGCCTTCGAGGCCACGGGATTCTTCGTCTGCAATATCTGGACCATCATCTCCTATGAGCAAGAGTCCCCACACCAATCAGAGATGTCCTGCATCCGATGCCCAGAACAGGTTCCCAGCTCCCACAGCCCTATAGGCCAGGACCCCTGACCCCACCCTTGACTCCCTCCTGGAGGTCAGTTCATTTCCCATCAAATAACTTACCAGCTCCTAATCCGGAAGGATGCTGGATTCTCTCAGACCACTCACTCCCACATAACTAACCTTTCTGCAAGGTGGGGAGCTCCTTCCTTTCTGAGCCTCCATCTCCCTTGGCTTTTGGGGTTCCTAGTCCAAAGCCTGGCCGGCCCATCCCAACTGCAAAAAGGGCCTTACGGCTCAGGTCCAGCAGCTCCTTCCCAAAGAAGGCTTCCTGTGGGGAGTCAAGGAGAAACAGGCTTCTTCATGCCCTGCAAGGTGCAGACACCTCCGTTACTACTTGGAGCCTGAGACCCACCTGCAGGTAAGCAGGGAACATGTCCTCCAGTTTGCTCTTCTTGCGCCCTCGCCGCTGTTGCTTCTTCTTCTCATCCCCTTCAGCTAAGCTCTGCTCCACGGTACCCTCTGCAGGCACGTCAGCAGGTGTCACTGTAGACAGAACAACGAGTGTCAGATTCTGGGGTTTGAGAGCATGCTGCTCCCAACAGCATGTCACCCAAGTGTGACACTTTGTGCCTACTCTCTCCCATAACATCAGCTGGGTCCGCCACCCTCTTGGCCCTTTCAACAAGTCCATCCCCCTGGGTATCTCTGGCATTGCCCCACCTTCTCCCAGGCCCCACTGGTGCCCTCACCCGTCTCACCCTCGTCGGGCTGCCCATCCCCACTCAACACCTCCGCCTGTGCAGCAGGCCCCTTTTTCATGCGCATGTGGGATTTCCGCTGTCGCACCATGAAACCACCAATGCCTATGAGGAGGCAGAGCTGCAGATGAGAAGCTGCTGGGGGACCTAGTGAGCTGCCCCGCACCACCCCACCACCATACCACCCCATCCCAGGTCCTCACCAGGCCGATAGGGTTTACGCTTGCGTTTTTTGCTTTCCTCAGTCTCCTCTTTGCCAGGCTCCACATCCGGGCTGACAGGGCCCTCCAGTTTAATTTCACACTCCATGTGCTCCACACCACCTGCGTATGGTGACAGAAGAGATGGAGGCAGATCAGAACTACAGGCATCCTCCTTTTTTTTTTTTTTTTTTGAGATGGAGTCTTGCTCCGTTGCCCAGGCTGGAGTACATTGGCACAATCTTGGCTCACTGCAACCTCCGCCTCCCAGGTTCAAGCGATTCTTCTGCCCCAGCCTCCTGAGTAGCTGGGACTACAGGCACGTGCGACCACACCCGGCTAATTTTTTGTATGTTTTTTTTTAAAGTAGAGATTTTGTAGTAGGGGTTTCACCATGTTAGCCAGGATGGCCTCAATCTCCTGACTTCGTGATCCACCTACCTCGGCCTCCTAAAGTGCTGGGATTACTGGTGTGAGCCACCATGCCCAGCCCCATGGGCCCTTTTAACCTTGTCACCCTTCCACTAAGAGAGCTGAGTACCTTGCCACAGAGCCACCTGGACAAAAGCAGCAGTGCTTAAGGGTAACTGTGAGTGGCAACGCAGCCCCCACCCAACATCTCACTCCCAGAGGTGCGCTCCCACGACTCTGTCGCTCCCTAAGATTCCCCAAGCTAACCTTCACCCTTGAGCAGCTCATCGGTGTCCAGGTCCCCATCCTTCTTGTCATCAGGGCCAAGGGCATCTGAGGGCTCAGAACCCTCCAACCCTGCCTCGCCTGGGAGGCCAAGCCGTCCTCGCCGCTGGCGCCGCTTGTGCAGTGGTGACATGGTCAGGTTACGCAGCACAGCCATGCCAGTTTCCGTCAGCCACACACCTTCGAAGCGAAAGTACTGGGGCTCTGTATAAGAGGAAAGGGTGTGTGATCCCTGGATGGAAGCCCCAGGGAAACCAGAACTGCAAGTTTCAACTTATGTCCTTAGCTGAGACAAAGGCAGTGACAGAAAGTCCAGCCTGGGGTCTAAATGCTGGGGAGAAAAGGCCCACCAAGGGCCACTGGTTGAGGCCCGAGTTCTCTGTCAGTGACCCAGGGAGATTCAGAGAGGAACTGTAACTCAGAAGCCTGCCTTTGCTCATGATTAACCCTAGGTTCGCTAAATAGATTCTCTCGCTGTCTGGGGCTAGAAGGGCCCCTACTTGCTGAATGTCAGCACATAGTGTCCTAGATGCTAGTAACAGCATCCATATCACAATGAAGGAGATGTCCCTGGCCCCTTTCACTGAGAAAAGAGCTGTGTTCTCCGAAGACGAAATTCTGCTAGTGAAAAGGCCATGGTGGCTGAGGAAAGAAACACTGCCTGGGAAGCTGGAAACCTCGGATCTAGTCATAACTTTGCCACTAACTTACTAGGTGACTTTAGTCAGGCCACTTAACTTCCCTGGGTCTGAGTTTCCTCCTCTTAAAATGAGGAAATGAAGTTGGGGGTGGTTAGAGCTAGACTAGATGATGTCTGAGGTCTAATCTGGCTTTGACATTCAAAATTTCTATGACTCACCTGGCTCTTTCACCTTCATAGGCACCAACTCTGGAGGCGCAACAGGCACTATGGCGAGAAGGACAAACCGAGGTGGCTGAGGCCCTGTCCCAAAGCAAGGTAGCCCTGTCCTGACTCCTCCCCCTACCCACCAGCTGGTACTCACCCACAGGCTTTACTACATAGGGCTGGCAGGAGACACAGTCAAAGCCCTCATCGGCTGCCTGCTCCACATCGTCCTCTGTGAAGAGGCTCTCACAGCCAGCATGCATCCACCTGGAGAACAGAGACCGAAGGAGATAAGCATGGGCAATGCGAGGCTGGCAACAAGGCCAATGTGAGGGGAAAGAGATGTACTCACCGTTCACAGTGGCGGCACTGGATTAGTAGGTCCTCTTCCACATAAGGAGCATGACAGATAGGGCAGGTCACCAGGCTGGCACAGGGCCCACAGTGTGTGTAACTATTCTGCCATTCACAGTGGAAGCCAGGGGAGGCAGCCCCACACTGCATACAAGACACACACCTAGTAGGAGCAGAAAAACAAGAGCCTTAAAACATACCCAAAGAACCCAGAAATCCCCTCAATGGGAACACCAGCCACCAGCCTAGCCTCCCAAACCCAGCGTCTGTCACATACTCAACATCATATCCACTTTAACATCCCAAAGCCCCAGGCTCCACTGAAGATCCCAGTCTCCTTACCACTTGCACTTCCAGCCACCCTTGGGCACAGTGAGCAGTGGGGGGTCCAGGCAGTAAGTGTGGTAACTAATGTCACAGTCATCACAGAGCAGCAGGCGTGAGGGGTCGGAGGCCTGGCCGCACACCTCACACACAATACACTCCACACAACGCCAGCCCTTGAGCAGCATCACCTTAGTGATCTGGGGCAGAAGACGGGAATTTCACAGGATGTGAGGTGGAAAGGAGGTAGAACTTTTTTTGTTTTTGGTTTTTTTTTTGTAAGACGGAGTTTCACTCTTGCTGCCCAGGCTGGAATGCCATGGCACAATCTCGGCTCACTGCAACTTCCACCTCCCAAGTACAAGCACTTCTCCTGTCCCAGCCTCCCAAGTAGCTGGGATTACAGGCATGTGTCACCACGCCTGGCTCCTTTTTGTATTTAGTAGAGATGAGGTTTCACCATGTTAGTCAGGCTGGTGGTGAACTCCTGACCTCAGGATGATCCACCCACCTCAGCTTCCCGAAGTCCTAGGATTACATGCATGCACCACGGTGCCCAGTCTAGGAGGTGTGACTTCTAAGGGTACAACTCCATTGCAGAGACCAGGCCTCCATTTGAGCACAGGGAGACTCATACAGAGCACCCTTATCCCCAAAACAGTGGCTCTAAACAGGCTCCCAACGATCTCTGCTGATCAGAGAAGAGCGACACTAGCCACTGCCTCATTATGAATGGAATAGCAATCTTTCCACTAGCCAAGCCCCTCAAAAGAGACTGTGGACAGAATTAGGTCCCCCAATTTTTCTTTTTCTTTTTTTGAGATGGATCTCACTCCATCGCCCAGGCTGGAGCACAGTGGTGCAATATGGGCTCACTGCAACCTCTGCCTCCCCGGTTCCAGCAATTCTCCCACCTCGGCCTCCTGAGTACCTGGGATTACAGGCGCACGCCACCACACCTGGCTGATTTTGTATTTTTAGTAGAGATGGGGTTTCACCATGTTGGCCATGCTGGTCTTGAACTCCTGACCTCAGGTGATCTGCCTGCCTAGGCCTCCCAAAGTGCTGGGATTACAGGCGTGTCCACCAAGCTGGGCTTCCCCCAATTATTCCTGTACATTTACAACTCACTATTGCTGCTAGTTAGTAAATATTAGCAATAGACAAGTCATAAATATTAACGAAAACCCCAAAATAACTGATCATGCATAGGTCAAAAACACTGCTTTCTCTTTGTGAACATGTACTTATAATTTGACATTTTTATCTCCAGATATCATGTTTTTTACTAGTGAAGTTATCTCACATAGATATATGTGAATGACAAAAAAAGAAAGGCAATGTCGCAAAATATACATATACATACATATATATAAATTTTTTTTTTTTTTGAGACTGAGTCTTGCTCTATCACTCAGGTTAAAGTGCAGTGGAGTTATCACAGCTCACTATAGCTTTAATTTCCTGGGCTAAATCCTCCCACCTCAGCCTCCTGAGTGCTGGGACTACAGGCACACACTCCCGTGCCTGGCTAATTTCTAATGGTTGTTAGGAGAGGTGTAGTTTATGTTGTCCAGGCTGGTCTTAAACTCCTGAACTCAAACAATCCTCCCACCTCAGCCTCCCAAAGTACTGTGATTGCAGGCGTGAGCCACCACGCCCAGCCAAGTTATTTTATTTTTTATAATGGACTGAATTATATCAGCAAGTCCGGGTCTACCACAGAGAAACTATAAAGTCTACCGTGAGTTCCAAAGTACTCTTCCCCAAGAAAAGTTTGATAACTTGTGATTAATGAAACGCCACCGGTGATTAATGAACAATATCCATGACCAATGTCGCTTTAAGAGGTGGTATGGCCAAACAAGGGATTAGGGTAAGAAATAACTGACCCTATTACCCCAGCCTATACCTCTTGGGCCCTGAACTCACCTTGCTGTTGACACAGTAAGGGTGATAGCACTGAGAGCACTGCGAACATGCAAGGAGGTGGCCCTCTGCACCCCGGCCAAAGCTGCCACATACCACACACATGTCCTGAGGAAACACAAAGAAACTGGAATGTCCAACATCTCCCCATCCCATTCAAATTCAGCCTACTATGACACTACAACACTGATTTGGGACCAGAAAGTCAAGAACTCCATCCCACAGCATTAGGACACTGTAAGCTACCAAGGAACCCTGCTCCTTCCTAGGATGCCTAACTCACCTAATCACGTCACTTGAATTTGTAAAGCCTGACATGGGCAAAGGCAAGAAGAAATTAAAGGATGATAAGACGGAGTAAAGACTGGTCAGGTGAGAATCACATATGTGACAAAATTCTATCAGCTTGAAGATTTTTCAAGTGAGGACACATACAAGCTCCCTAAGCTATGAACTTCAATAGGGCAAAGACCTTTTCACTGCTATTTCTCTAGCTCCTAGCTTAGTGCCAAGCTCAGAAGAAACACTCAAGAGAAATGTGATGGATGGACAAATAAACAACACGATTAGAATTCATGGTCTGTTTTCTCGTTAGCTGAGTATCCCCAGAAGTAGGTCCCCAGTTTTCCCCATCTGTCCTCTCACCAAAACACACACGTATACAACGTTACGGCCTTGTCCTGGCCATAATGTTCAGTGTGCCAGGTCTCACTGTATGGTACCTGCATTAGGACGAATTTGTCTGTGTTGGAGAAGAGAACCACGGTATTCTGCATGGTGTCATCATCTTCTTCCTCCTCCTCCTTACTGGGAGAGCTATCAATGTCAGCAACCTTATGGGCAGAGAGTTGCAAAAAGTGAGGCAGACAAATCTGCCCCCACCAAGCTATTTTCCTCTTTGGCGTTCGGGGAAAAGGGTGTGAAACCCTGGCAAAAATGAAGGCCAAAAGCCAGGAAAAAGAGACAGAACACCCCAGCTCCCAAACTGGGCCTCAGCCTGATAGCAGAGATTTCAGAAAAACCTGGGAGCCAAGTGGAAAGGAACACAGACATAGCCAGACAGGTCCCAGATGAGCAGGCAGGTAGGCAAGCATGCAAGCGACTGGCAGCACTCAGATGGTGCTAAAGCATGCTTAGGGGATGGGAGGAATAGGAGGCCTCTCCTTACTACCAGAGTCTCAATGGAAGAAGCAGTTGACTTTAGCCGGGCCCGTCCTCTACCACGTCCTCCATGGGCTCCTCCACGAGGCCGGCGTCTTCCTGGGAAACTACTGCTGCGACCCTGAGTGAAAGAAGGGAGCAATGACAGGAGCATGTCAAGGGCTAGTGTGTTGGGCTTACACACTCAAATGGAACAAGTGACAAATGGACACAGTAAAACAGTAAAAACGGAACAACTGACAAATGCCCAGGAGTCCCACTCAGGGCAGGGGAAAAGGCCAAGCTCCCAGACATTAACAAGTACACAGCTCTAGCCCAAACCCATTCTTCCTCTCCCAAGAGTAGCTGACACGGACAAGGAGAAAAAACAGAGGCTTAAAAGAAGCAAGTTTCTGGTCCCGATTCTATAACTGAGGAACCATGAATCTAGGCAAGGTATTAATCCCTTCAATATATTATTATTCTCCTTAATAAAATAATTGGAATAAAGGACTTCCAAGTCTAAGATTCAAAAAGCAAGGTGAGGAGCTATCAGTGACACAGGACTGTACCTCTAACAGTGGCCTAGCACTGATCACGTCCAGCAGCTAGACAGCCCCTCACCTGTTTGATGCGGGAACGAGCTGGGGAGCTGCGTCGCCGCCCCTTCTCCCCATCGGCTTTGCCTCCACTGATAGCTGTCCCGGCATCACACAATAGTGAGTCATCAGTCTCTGGCAGTGAGTCGGTACAGAGCCGTAGGGAGCCCTCATCTCGGGCTGGACTAACATCCGTAGAGACCCCCAGCTCCATGGACAGGGAGCCACCCCCCTCCGGGTCAGGAGAGCCCAGGAGGGGCTCTGAGCCAGGAAAACTGGCACTGGCATCGCCCTGGCTCAGATTAGAGATCTCATTGACGATGTCGGATTTGATGAGAGTGGGTGGTGTGGGGGCCACCGATGCACGTGGCTCTTCCTGTTCTTCACATGGTGAGCCCTGCCCTGCTGCCTGCTTGCATTCGGGGTAGACCTCCATAGGGGTCACAGGGGCCAGCTCCTCGGGGTCCGGGAGCACAGGGGAGCCTTTAAGTTCACTAGCCAAACTGCCAGGCGTCTGTCCAGCCTCTGGCTGTGAACCTGGAGCATCAGTCCCATCCAGAGGGGCTATGTCTTCCCCTAGGCCAGAGAAGTCATCCAGGGCTGGGGCAGGGCTGGGGGCGGGACAGGAAAGGTCGCCCATTGGGGAAGGGAGGGGACTGGTGGCACTGGGTTCCAAGGCTGGACATTCAGGTTCTGGAACTTTCTCAGTATCCATTTCGTGGGACTCAGCCTCATCTGAGACCCCCACTGCCTTCCCTATGGGACTCAATGGGGAGGGAACAGACAGTGGCAGGGCAGGAGGGGAGCAATGGGAAGGAGGAGAGTTTTGAGGAGGCAGGGAATGCTGAAGGAGTGGCGAACACTGAGGGGGAAGGGGCTCCATCAGGATGAGAGAAGCCGGTCCCATTGGGGAGCCTGGGGATGGGGGAAGGATCATAGGGGGGACAGGCTCAGGGTCAGTGCAGTTAGCTTCTGGTGGAGGGCTGATAGGTGTCTCCAGGATGGGGGCAGCCAAGGGTGACTCAGGGTCACTGTCCCCTTTGGCACCAAAGGGGTACTCTAACTCCCTCAAAGGAGACAGGGCCGGTGGGGCCACAGCGGTGATAATGGGTGAGAGCGGAGGAGGAAGGGGATCTGGAAGACAAAAAAAGAGGGGCTCTTAGATTAGACGTGCCATGAAGAGCTATGGCTGTCCCAGAGTGAGAGAGTACTAACATCCCCTTACCTGGTGGCATCAGCTGAGGTGACAAGGATGGCTCCCCAGACGGGGACAAGGGCAGCTCCTCAGGCAGAGGGGACAGAGGTGGTTCCCCAGGTTCAGACAGGGCTGGCTCTCCAAGCAAGGGAGATAAGGGTGGCTCCTCAGGTGGGGGGAACAAGGACAACTCCTCAGGTACAGGGCACTGGCCTGGCTCCTCAGGGGGCTCTTCAGGCCGAGGGGACAGGGGTGGCTCCTCAGGCTGAGGGGACAGGTGCAGTTCCTCAGGCTGAGGGGACAGGTGCAGTTCCTCAGGCTGGGGGGACAGGCGTGGTTCCTCAGACTGGGAGGACAGGTGCGATTCCTCAGGTTGGGGAGACAAGCATGGCTCCTCAGGCACAGGAGACAGGTGCGGCTCCTCAGTCTGGGGGGACAGGCGTAATTCCTCAGGCTGAGGGGACAGATGTGGTCCCTCAGGCTGGGGAGATAAGTGTGGCTCCTCGGGCCGGGGGGATAGGCATGGCTCCTCAGGCTGGGGGGACAGGTGCGGCTCCTCAGGCTGGGGGGACAGGTGTGGCTCCTCAGGATTCAAAGATAGCAGTGGCTCCTCAGGCTGGGGGGACAGGTGCAGCTCCTCAGGCTGCGGGGACAGGTGCAGCTCCTCAGGCTGTGGAGATAGATGGGGCTCCTCGGGCCGGGGGCACAGGTGTGGCTCCTCAGATGGTGGGCAGAGTTGCAGCTCCTCAGGCCGGCCACAGAGATGCGGCACCTCAGGTAGTGGCGACAGGGGTGACTCCTCCAGCGGCAGGGACATGAGAGAGTCCTCCGGTGGTGGGGAAGCAGGTGAGTCCTCAGGTGGTGGGGAAAGCCGTGAAGCCTCAGGTGGAGGGGACATGGGAGACTCCTCAGGCGGTGGGGACAAGGGAGATTCCTCAGGCGGTGGAGACAGGCGTGACACCTCAGGCAGGGGAGACAGGCACGATACCTCAGGTGGGGGGGACATAGGTGATTCTTCAGGTGGGGGGGACATAGGTGAGTCCTCAGGTGGTGGGGACAGGCGTGATGCCTCAGGTGGTGGGGAGAGGGGAGACTCCTCAGGTGGAGGAGACAGAGGAGACTCTTCAAATGGTGGGAACAGACGAGACGCCTCTGGTGGTGGAGACATGGGTGACTCTTCAGGCGGAGGGGACATGGGTGACTCCTCAGGCGGTGGAGACAGGCGAGATGCTTCAGGTGGTGGGGAGGTGGGCAATTCCTCAGGTGGCGGGGACAAAGGAGATTCCTCAAATGGTGGGGGCAGGGGTGATGCTTCAGGTGGTGGGGACAGGGGCGTCTCAAGTGCAGGAGATGGGGGTGACTCTTCCGGTGGACAGAAGGGCGACTCCTCCAGCGGAGAAAAAGGTGATGATTCAGGTGGGGGAGACAGAGGAGACTCCTCAGGCGGCGGAGAGAGGGGCGATTCCTCTGGCGGCTGGGACAGGTGCAATGCCTCAGGAAGCGGGGATGCGGGTGATTCCTCAGGTGGTGGGGACAGGCGTGATGCCTCAGGCGGTGGGGACGTGGGTGATTCCTCAGGTGGTGGGGACAGGGGTGACTCCTCAGGCGGGGGCAGCAGTGGCATCTCCTCATTTTGGGGGGCCTCCAACTGGTGCTCAAGTTGGACTCCTGCTCTCCCTGCAGACACAACACACAGTGCTCCTATCTAGCTCAGATCTACTCCACAGAAAGTGCAGGGTCTGGGGAAACGCAGAAACTGTCTCTTGCCACAGAATAAAAGGGGATGAATTTCAGGGACCCTCAAACCCTACTCACCTAGTGGTTTGGCTTCACATTGCAGGGGCCCCGGTTCCTTGGGTTGCATAGAGGTCACGTGCCCACCCTTTGGCTGCCCTTGGCATGCAACGTACAGAGCATCGGGCTCATCAGTGGGGGTATCGCCGGGCTCTGGGGGTGAAAATCTGCAGAGGGTACAGGGGAGCAGGCACTGTGGCTCTCACCAGCTAACAAATCCTACAGAGCACACTGGGGCGAGGCACGAATGCTGTGGATGGCACTGCCCACCTTGGAGCTCTCCTCTCAAAGTCCACTTGATTTAACATGGCCCCTGCCAACCTCTGTCCTTTCAATCTGCCAGCCCAATCTCAGCCAGTCCACATCGCTTACCTGCTACACACAGGGGTATGCTGCTCAGCAACAGAGCTGAGAGGCTGACCTCCCTGGGCTTTGTGACAGTGGTGACAGAGAGAGTAGTTCTCAAACCACTCCGAGTTGGGATTCAGTTCTGCCGAGCCTGCCCCACAGGCCCGGCACACCCGGCATGCCTAGGGGAAAGAAGTGGGCAAAACGTGCATCAGTCAGAGAGCAAAGACTGAAGGAAAGTACAGGCCTTGTTAAGACAGAGAATGCTATAGGAGGAAGAATCGGGGTACACTCACCTTACACTTCCAAGAGTGAGCAGGCAGTTCCTCCATGGGTGGTTTTAGGCAGAAGGTATGGTATCCTTTGTCACACGTCTCACAAACCAACATCTTAGAGTCATTCCCAGGTTTCCTGCAGGGGCACAGGGAACCTGACAATGTCCCCTCTGCCCTCGTTTCCTTTCTTTTTTGTTGTTTTCATGTTAAAAGGCCTTCTCCAACTGCCCTCATTTTCAACCCTAACCTGTGATATGTCTAAGACTTCCCTCCTGCCCTTCCATTCCTACCTGCAGGCTTGGCACACTTTGCATTCAGGGCACTGCCAGCCAGCACGTTTGCGGGCAGTCAGAGCAGTGTCCAGGCAGGCCCCATGATAGTGATGCCCACAGCTCGTACAGAAGAACAGGTCACACAACTCCCCTGGCCCCTCACACACTGCACAGCGAGCCTCCTCTGCAGGGGATAGAGACAGCACAGGTTAGCTATGGATTCCCTGTAAGCCTCAGCACAGTGCTGTACACACAATAGGCACTCCATGGCCACAGAATGAACAAATAACAAAGTTACTGAGTGCCTGCCCAATGTCTGCCAGCTACTGTTCTAGGCACTGGAAACACAGTGGAAAATGAGACAGGCAAAACTCTGGTGCTCACAAAGTTCACAGCTATTTTAATGGGGCAGACCAACAGTATATAATTCTATACTTTGATCAGTGCTCTGCAGAGTACAAAAATCCAAGGCACACTTGGTCTCTCATATGCGCTATGTCCAAAGGTCAGGACTTCTCACCCAGATGTGCAGCCCCCTCACTGTGCTCTGGGCATAGCAGCTGCAGTGTTTTCATGGATAGGAAGGAACCGCTGGCGGTTGCGCAGGGGAAATGGTAAAGCCGTGGACATCCAGGTGAGCGGCAAGGGATGGAGGCACCGAGCCTGGTGCAGTGGGAGCAGCGCTGCCAGGGTGAAGAAGGCTCAGTGTCAGCCAGCTCTCTCCAGAATAACAGTTCAGGCACTAGCTCTGCCCCAGTATATCCACGGTCCTTCTCATTCCACCCTGACTCCCAGAAGCCCACCAGCCCTGTCCATCCTCTGCAAGAGCAGCCCTGCCCTGCACCTCTGGCCCCAGCCCCACCTGTGAGATCCCTGAGAAGATGGCCTTGTCCACACCACATAGTTGTGGGCCCTCCTGCCCCCATACGCCTGCCGACCACGCAGCACACCAATGGTGAGCCCAACAGGACCCTTTACAGGTGGGAAGAGGTAAACAGAAAGGAAAGAGTTAACAAAAAGAGGCTGGCTGGCTCAGGACTACCCAGCCCTTATCCCGTTTCCTGCCCCATTTCCCTCACTCACCTCCAGGTTCTCCTAGGTGGGCAGGTGTAAGGCCCTCAGGGAAACCAATCTGTGATAGGTCCTCACTGGGCAGCACTGCCTCATTGCGCCCTGGGCTCCCCCCAGGGGATACCACTGGACACCGGGGCCAATCAAATGGCAACTCAAAGCGCTGTAGCTCCCGCTGCCCGTGCAGACTGGGCTCCCCGCAGTTACAGAGAGCACAACGCCGCACTGGACCCCCACTGTGGACACATAAGCATCAGTACCACGCCAGGCCCCTGCAACCCTATGATTTGGCATGCCCATGCTTCCCCAACACTCATTTTCCTAAATCCTCTTCCTTGAAAGCCCTAGACTCTCAAATCAAATCTTCATGTGCCCTCAAACAAGTTACCTGCAGTCCTGAGAAGTGTCCTGAAGACTGGGACTCCCAGAACTAGGGACAGAGACCTCCCCCACATGTGGGTTAGGCAGGTCTGACTCAGTGGCACCTGGGTCCTCAGAAGCTGCAGGTTCATCAGCTGAATAAATAGACAAACAGCATGTGTCAGCCATCATCCCTATTTAATAGGAAGTCCACTCACCAGAAGCATAAGATTATCCAAAACCCTCAGTGGCTCAGGGTGATGGTATTTCAACTGTTGTCCCAAAGAACAAAGTTGTTTCATTATTTATCTGCTGCATAGACTTAGCTCATGTCCTTGTGCCAGGACCAGAATTGTAAGGTTGCCCATGAAATCTAAAAGCAAACACAGAATCTGTCCTACTCACCTGCCGGTTCTGAATCTTTATCCTCACCAGGCAGCTTCTGGCTGTCCATCCCTCTCTCCGACTGGGCAGGGCCCTCTCGGGGAGACCTGTTGGTGCCAAGAGAGAGATCTATATGCCTAGTAAGTCTTCCCAAGAAGCTCTTTTCCCAGAATCCTAGGAAGAAGGCATCCAGACCCTCCAGACATCAGAGCAAAGCCATACCACAAACTCCAATACTGACAAGGAAAGTCATTCTCCCTAACCTGTACCCCACTGCCTACATCCTCCCAAGATAAACACATACCCTCTTTTCACATTCTGGAGAGATTGTCAGGGGGTCCATTTGACTTTCCCACTTCCAGCCTCCTCTGTAAGAGTTCCTGGGGCCATAGCATCCAACTAGAAGCAAATCCATTTATACCTAATACTGCTCTTTGCCTCGCCTCTGGGTTTTTGGCTTCTGGTGAACCCTATCCCCACACCTTTTCCTCAGGTCTCAAGTAAGCTATCATTCCAGAGACCAGTCAGTGCCAACCCAGGGGCAGTCATGACCCAGGAAGCCTGAGTCCAGCCAAAATCCCTCTCCCAGACGCACAGTCTGAGGCACTGCAAGAGACGGAACCCACTATTGGAACTAAAGCCTAGCTGTGGATGGATCTCCCCCACCACCACTTGTTTCTACAAGGACATCACCATCACAAAAGAAGAAACTCCCTAATTTCCACCCACTTCCAACCCAAATCCAGCTCAGACCAATGCCTGGACCCTGCCCTAACTGAGCTCAGGGTCTCACCCAGCCTGAAGGTCTCAGGTCGTTGCCCTTAGCAACATCAACTGCCCTTCCTCTTCAGATATCTCTAGTAGTTAACAGAAGTGGACCTTGAGAGATACTGAGCATGTGTAGCCAGGCCTGAGGCTAAGCATGCTGGGAGTTGTAGTCTCAGGAAGCACAGAGCCACTCAGAGGAGTTCTAAACAGGGCAGGACATAGCACAGCAGAGCAGAGTAGCTTCCTTCCTCTTCCCTTAAGCAGGGTTTCCACATACATACATGGGGGTGGGGAATAACGGTCCCTTGTCCCTTCTAAGAAATTCGTGCCTGTATCAAAGCCAAATGAAACTATAGTTATACATAAAAAAGTTGAGACTTACACCTTTGGGCATTATTTTTGTAGATCTCAGAGGGAATTAAGCACAGCGGGAGAAAAAGAATTACAGACATGAGGAATAGGAAAGGGATAGGTGCCAGCAGCTTGTAGTGGGAAGTGCAGACCCTTTCTCTTAATCAGAGAAAATACACAGTGTTCCTAGAGAAAGTGGTGGTGAGGTGGGGGAAATCCTTAGAACTCTAAACAATCAAAGTTTGAGAAATTCATCTCGCCTTTTCCATTCTTCTCGATTAACTGTATTGACCACACCAACCTTTGCAAGGACAACCCCCTCCTCCCAAGCTGGAAGGCAAATACCCCAGCCAGCCACTTACGGATGAATGACTGGGGCAAATGAGACAGGGGGAACCCTCAAAGGTGCCCCAAATGAGTAAATCAATTCCCTAATTCCACAATATCACTCCTCCTGCCCGGAACTCACCCTTTATTTCCAGATACTGGCTATGCCCCTCTGGAGACATGTCATAGGAAAGAAAATTACTTTTTCCCCTAACACTTTCAGAACCTACTAGAGAAAGTAACTTATCACCTGATACACATCATCCCCATTCCCAAGTCATCTCTCTTTCCCAAACCTGCCACACAACCACACCTGAAAGGAAAGCAGGGTGGGTCATCTGGCCCGCTCACAGAAAAGCTGCTCCAGAACTTCAAGGAGTCCTTAGAAGTTACCCATGGGAAGTGGGAGGTGGAGGTGACGGCAGCAGCCATGCTCCTCTTTCATTCAGTCATTCAAGGCCTGACCACACCCAGAAGGTCCAAGGAGCCCTTAAAGTTTTCTTTTTCTTTTTTTTTTTTTAAATAAAGATGGAGTTTCACCATGATGGCCAGGTGGGTCTTGAACTCCTGACCTCAGGTGATCTACCCACCTCAGCCTCCCAAAGTGCTACAATTACAGGCATGAGCCACCACGCCCAGCCCCCTTAAAGTTTTCTAATTGTTTGCATCTTACTATAGCTTACCACTACATGCCCCCAAAGATCCTCTGCCCACTCTGCTCTCAAAGTTGAAGCCAAAAGAGTCACAAACAGCAAGAACTAAAAGGCAACAATGATAATACAGTGGGTAGGAGGAGGGGTGCCTCACACAAGGCCAGAGGGACAAATTCCTCAGCCCTCCCCCGAGCGCAGCCCTCTCAGGCTGGTAAGGCTGGTACTGCTCAAGAAGGTACAGAAACCACCTTCATCTGGCCTTGAGAGACAGAGTACTAACATCCTCCAAAGCCAGAGCCCCATTCACAGGGCCATGGTAGATGAAAGATTAAGAAGCAAAGAGAATGTCATACAAGTGGACCAAAAACAGGGGACATCTCCAAAAAGCCTGAGCCCTCAGTCCCTAGTTCCCCATCCCTGCAGTCCAGGATCCCAATGCTGATTCCTAGTTATCCAAAGCCCCTGAACATATCTAAACAAAGACCCCAGGTTCCCCAGTCCCATCATTCACAGCCAGTAAAAAGACACACATTCACACCAAGTATTTTTTTTCCTGGATCTAAACTCGGCTAGTGTCTGGCCAGGCTTCCTCTACAGAACTAGAGATCCCAGACAGCAAGTACAGAGCTAGGGAGTAAAACTGTGCTGGCACCCCTCAGTCCTATACCTACGAGGCCCAAAACAGCAAAGAGGAGGACAATGAATTATCTCAACCCATTCTCCTTCTCGCCTCCCTCCCAGACCAACAGCTTTCACTCCATTTTCCCAAGCAAGGGGGAAATGGAGGCTTGGAGAGGTGTAAGGCTGAAGTAGGCCCTTCAATGAACAGCTCTTCAGTAGGACTCAAGACTTCCTGGTTCCCAGCCTGAGACTCAAACCACACCTCTTCCCACCCCCATTTTGGGTCAGCCCTCTGAGATGGATCCAAACGGAACACTGGCCGTGCAGACCCTCTGAACTGTGTCCCTGGCTCATCCTGAACAAGGTGCAGTTTATATAAAGAACTTGTTTGAGGACAAACAGGAGGGACTCTCCAGACTGCAGGAGCGGAAAGCAGGCTTGACAGCTCACCTCGCTATACCACACCTGTGCTACCTCTCACCTTTCAAAACTTTAAAACGCAAAACCCCTATTTTCTCCTTTCCAATACCAGACTCAAATCTAGTATATGTATGTTGGAGGGGGCAGAGTGAGGGAGCAGAACGCACCAGCCAAATCCCTGCTAGGCAGCATGACAGGTGTGAGAGGGGCAGTCCCAAGCCCAAGCAAGGCCCAGAGGCTTCGGGCTCAAGCTGCAGGCACTCTTTCTCCCCAATACCTTGTGCCAGGGGTGGAATCACTGGTTTCCAGGAGAAAAGAGCTCTGATCAAGCCATTTCTCCTCCAGAAAGATACAGGCCACCCCATTCTGCACAGTTGGTACGGGATCAGAGAACCAGTTAACAATCCCTGGTCATAAAAGGGTTGGAGAAGTCTGGGAGGGGCTTGCAGGACTGGCCAGGGACTCACGGGCAGCCAGCTCCCCATACCAGACCGGGAGAAAGCAAGAGACAAAAGCCATTTTTTGCAGCCTACATTCGCAGGGAGAAAATCTCAACGGCCTCCTCTATAATCCTCTGGAGATTAGATCCATCCCAAGAGGAGGGGAGGCAAAGCAGGCTAAGACAGCACTAGGCCTCACTGGGGTCACTTTGCCAGGCAGGGGTAGTTTAAAGTTGAACAGCAGGGCCAGAGCTGGCCCCAGCCCCGCCTCCTTCTTGCCCCAGCCACCCCCTTCATCACAACTAGTCAGTTTCCACACACTCTCCCTTTGCCTAGTGAAAGAAGGCCTGGTGAAGGATCTAGGGTTCCTTGAGTTTTCCAGGGACTGTTTTGCGTGCCCAACTCGGTAGGAACAACCTTAAAGTCCAACTGGCATAAGTCTGACCTGGCAGTGGCACCCTCCCCCACCATCCCAAGTTGCTGTGTCCAAAGGCCCACAAGGAACCCAGGGGGAAGAAGCAGCAGCCTGGGATTGGTGCTGGCATCAGGGCCCGGGTCCTAGTTGAGTTGAGTTTCCCCCAACACGAAAATAAACAGGAGGAGAGGCTATCTGGCCAGGTTCCCAAACTCCCGTGGTTCCCTGAACCCCCAGTCTTTAAAGAGGCACACCCCAAGACACCAGGCCTCAGTTCTGCCCTGCTGACTAGCTCAGGTTCCCTTGACAGACCCTGCCAAAGAAACCCTCCCCAGCTCTGGCACCCCCTTCTCCAACCTAAAGGCCAGCTCCGGCTAAGATAGTCCATCTGGCTATGCCCCCAGTCCAACCCTTTCTGGGCCCTGGCCGGGCGGACTTCACTCACCTCTTCACAGGGCGATCCAGAAATCCTCATCCGAGAACATGGCCAGAGCCCGGGCCGCTCCCCGACCTCCAACCGCCAGAGCGATCACAGCCGCCCCCCGCACGGGGGGGCTTAGGGGGGCCAAGAACGGTAAATCCAGGTCGGAGTGGCCACCCTCCCCCCACAAAAAACAGCAAGAAGCCAAAGAGGGGGTTCTCTGCCTCAGCTTCCAGCAGTTTAGGTTTCCATGGACAGCCCCAGGGCGGCGAATCCCGAGCGGACACAAAGAGAGCACCGGTGGCTTTGATCTTGGGCGAGCAGGCTCCGCATCCGCGTCGCCGGGCGGCCTCTCAGTCCTAGGGCCCGGCCAGCGCCCCGGCCGCCCGCGCCGGGCTCGGGCGGAACGTCGAGGCTCTCCAGATGGAACGTCGAGGCGCCTCCCCAGCAGCCCGGAAGGAATGCCGCGCCGCCCCGCGCCTGGCCCGGATGGAACGTGAGACCCTCGCAGGAGCGCTGAACCCCTCTCCCCGCCCCGGCCGGCGCCCCGGGGCCGCGCGAGCTACGGCGACGCGGGGCCGGCGGGGCCGCGGGGCTGAACCTGACACACACCCAGCGCCGGGCTTCTCGACCCCGAGCGCTCACCCTCGGCCGCTTCGAGCCCCCCACCTTCTGCTCCCCCCGGGGAAGGGAGGAGGCTAGGTGGGCGAGGAAGAGGAAGGGGCGGGCGGTGCGAGCCCCTCTGCCTGCTCCCCTCCGGCCGCTCCAGGCCCTGCGCTCGCCTCCCTTCCCCTCTGGCCTCGGGAGCTGCCCCGCCCCCGGCCTGGCCGGCTCTGGTCGGTGGCACTCCCTAGACCCCCGGCTGGCTGTGATCGCTGGGGGCTTAGAGGTGCATGGCCCAACCCCGGCTCCCGGCACCGGGGGGTCAGGAAACTGAGCGGAAAGTGGGGAACGAGGCAGCCATTTGCAACCGGAGAGGAAAGTAGTGCAGCGCGGCGCCGCTCCGCCTCCCCCCCTCCGCCTCCTGTTCGGCCGGTAGGGTGGTTCCTGCGAAGGGGCTATTTCCTGGCCCGAAAGCTGGGCAGCGGTCGTGGAGATTCGTGAAGCCTCCGGCGCGAGATCCGGGGGGGCCTTTTGCCCGGGGCACCCCACTCGAGACGGGGAGAAAGGAGAAGAGACGGCCCTATTTTGTGTTGGAGCGGAGCGGCGGAGGGATCCCGCCCTCTCGGAGGAAAGGCTGTGACTCTGCAGTTCTACGCACACGCTGCGGGATCCTTCCGCTCCGGGTTAACCCCGACCGCGCCGGGCCGGCAGCCTGGCAGACACGTGGGAACGAAGCCCCCCTCCCCTCTGCCCCGGCCCTGGAGCCGCCTCATTTACCGCCCGGGCGGTGAAACTAGGACTCCGGCCGCTTTCTAATTCCATACTCTTGCAGTCATTGGTCCCTGAAACTCCAACTGCCCTCTTGCTTTGGCCAGGGGCAATCTTTCCCGGGAGGGGGATGGAAGAGCCAGGAGATTGGCTGCTGCTCAGCATCCTGGGAACTGGAGTCCGCAAATGGAGAAAGTGAGGCACGGCGCCTGGCGCTGCAGAGGGTGGGTTCTTGCCACGTTTGGGGGCCCGACGAAAACCGGATGAGTCCCTAGTCGTTCCTTCTGACTCCAGCCCCCCGTGTGAGGAAGGACTGTCGGTGTCCACACAGTCACCACACACACCTCCCCATCGAAACATAAATGTAGAGCCTCCCTTTTCAGGGTGCCCCCACCCCCACCTCCAGTCCTTCCAGATCTTCATGACCCATGTCCCTTTTTTAGTAAGCTGAGGTAGCCTCGCCGCTACCTGGCCAGAATACTGTTCTGGACAAGATCCCAAAACATACTCTTTGCAGGCAGCCCGCCTGGGTTGGATGAGAAAGGATTGGAATGCCTCTTGGGCATCAACTGCACACATGGGGTGGACAAAAGGAGATAAATTAACTATGTCCAGATACTTTATATATTCTTAGTTATTCCTCACCTTCATTATGAGTTACATGGAATTATCTCTCCATATTACAGATGAAGATTGGGGCTACGATAGGAAAGATTGCCCACAGAACTACATGTAGTGAGAAGTTGAGCCATTATTCAAACCAAAGGCCATGTTTTTCCTAGGATTACAAATAATAATAATACATGTTTTAAAAGATGTGAAGAAAGAGGCAAGCAGATTCCAGGTCAGCTTTGTGGGGAAAGAGTTTACAATCCTGTCCAACAGATCTTTTCTACAGTGATGGAAATTGACTAAATCTACGCTATCTAATATGGTAGCCATTAGCCACATGTAGCTCTGGAGCACTTTGAAATGTAGGTACACGTAGGGAACTTTGTATTTTTTGTTGTTTTTTGAGACAGAGTTTCACTCTTGTTGCCCAGGCTAGAGTGCAATGGCGCCATCTCAGCTCACTGCAACCTCTGCCCCCTGGGTTTAAGCAATTCTCCTGCCTCAGCCTCACAAGTAGCTGGGATTACAGGTACCCACCACTATGCCCAGCTAATTTTTTGTATTTTTAGTAGAGATGGGGTTTCACCATGTTGGACAGGCTGGTCTCAAACTCCAGATCTCAGGTGATCCACCTGCCTTAACCTCCCAAAGTGCTAGGATTAAAGGCGTAAGCCACTGCGCCCAGTCAGAAAATTAACTTTTTATTTGAGTGAAATTAAATAGCCACATGTGACTTGACGCTTTTATATTCAACAGTGCAGGAGACCTTAATCCCTACTGACTAGAGTCATAAGAGGGATCAGGATGAGGTTTGTCCTCTTCAAGCCACACATGCCCATCATGCTTTCTGCACTGATCATTCATGCCTATTTGAGCAAAAAGACTTCAGCAGTGACCCCATACCTGTTTTGGTTACAGCAGAATAAGTTAACCAAGAGACAGAAGTTGGAAAATGGAAGGCCCCTCCCAGCTTTACACCCACAGGCAGGGAGAGGCAGACCCTTACCAGAAAGACCTCTAGACCTCCAGTAATAACACAGATAGCCACCCACTATTTCTTTTTTTTTTTTTTTTTTTTTTGAGACAGAGTTTCACTATTGTTGTCCCCCAGGCTGGAGTGAAATAGCGTGATCTTGGCTCACTGCAACCTTCCGCCTCCCAGGTTCAAGCAATTCTCCTGCCTTAGCCTCCTGAGTAGCTGGGATTACAGGCGCATGCCACCATGCCTGGCTAATTTTGTATTTTTAGTAGAGATGGGGTTTCACCACGTTGGCCAGGCTGATCTCGAACTCCTGACCTTGGGTGATCCACCCACCTTGGTCTCCTAAAGTGCTGGGATTACAGGCATGAGCCACTGCACCCGGCCACCACCCACTATTTCTTAAGGACTTATTTTGTGTGAAGAACTATAGTAAGCTTTACATATATTACCTCATTTAATTTTCACCTCAACTCTATAAAGCACACTTAGCCCCACTTCATAAATAGGAAATGGAGGCTCTGAGAGGTTAAGTGACTGGCCAAGGCCACACAGCTAAGTTGAGGAGCTATTAACTGCTATCACTACTGACCCCAGGCCTTGAGATTACTTATTGATAAACTTCTAGAAAACTTTAGGTAAGTCTGCCCTAGACCTCATGAAAATGGCAGCAGGAAGGTAGGCCCCTGTGATGAGTACCCCAGGTCAGATGTGCAAAAGGACTTAATTTTAATATAAGGAGAGAGGGTGGTGACCTCCCAGAAGAACCTCCTAAGCCAGTGAGATTGTTGTTTGGAGTATGTTTCTTCTAGCAGCCCTTATTTCTTTTTAGATTCTGAATCAGAAAAGCAAAAGCAGCTTTTGAAAATCAGCATGACAAGCCATATACCCAACTGTAAGCCTGGAGCCAGGCAATGACAAAGTCACAGCTAAAAATCACAACTAGGTTTTGTTCATCCTTCCCACGTAAGTACACCGGGTACCTCGCCTCCCCCAGTTGTCAGAAGAGGTCTGTACCTTCCCTGTACCTACCATTCAAATAACCCTTGTATGTCCTTGGAGGAGGTATTAGACTAGTTAGGCTCTCAGGCTGGTAGAAGGGTGGGGATCAAGAAAAGTGGAGGCAAACAGGACCAAACTTTCCTAGCTGAAATACCAATCCTACTGAGGCGGTAGGTCCATAAAAGCAGAAGCGATAGCCTTTGACACCTAAAAAACAGTAGCACAACACCAAAGGTGTGAAAAGTAGCATAAGATTAAAGGTATAAAAAGAGCAAAGAGGCCAGGCGCGGTGGCTCACGCCTGCAATCCCAAAACTTTGGGAGGCCGAGGAGGGTGGATCACGAGGTCAAGAGACCGAGACCATCCTGGTCAACACGGTGAAACCCTGTCTCTAAAAAAAAAAAAAGAAGAGAAAGAAGAGAGCAAAGGACAGCCATTTCAATGAAAGACATGGGGACATAGAGCACAGGGGGACTAATATGCACCAGAGGCATTATTCCTTTTATTTTCTTTTATTTATTTATTTTTTTTTTTGAGACAGATTCTCACTCTGTTGCCCAGGCTGGAGTGCAGTGGCTCAATCTCAGCTCACTGCAACCTCTGCCTCCTGAGTAGGTAGTCGCATGTCACCATGCCCAGCTAACTCTTTTTTGTATTTTTAGTACAGACTGGGTTTCACCGTGTTAGCCAGGATGGTCTCTATCTCCTGTCCTCATGATCCGCCCACCTCAACCTACCAAAGTGCTGGGATTACAGGCATGAGCCACCGTGTCCAGCCGGCATTATTTCTTACTTTACTCAACACTCCTGGGATGTCAAATCACAACACTTTAGTCTCTGCCTCAACGCTCCTTCTCATTTCTTACATCATTAGGAATGGGGGGCTTCCTTCCTCCCCAAACCCCATCCTGCAAGTAAATACCAAGGCCCCAGGAAGACAGCTAGGTCAGCATGTTGCAGCTGGCCACTAGAGGGTGTTGTTTCTGTAGTTAAGGGGATCTTGAAAGGCTACAAACTTGGATGGCAGTGGCAGCCAATAGGGACTCAGTATATGAGGAATCCAGTGGAATAGAAAAGTGGGAAAGGCAAGTAGTAATTCTTAGGATAATGGTCCTTAATAAGTGAGGAATATGGAATAGGAACAAGGTAGGAGGAAACATTCCCCACCAAATACCACAGCCATCACTCCTTGGAAAAGGAGATACTGGCTCTGAGCTCTACCTAGATACACAGAAGTCAACAATAAGGCTGGGTGTGGTGGCTCACACCTGTAATCCCAGCACTTCAGAAGGCCAAAGTGGACGGATCACTTCAGGTCAGGAGTTCGAGACAATCCTAGCCAACATGGTGAAACCCCATCTCTACTAAAAAACACAAAAATTAGCCAGGTGTGGTAGTGGATGCCTGTAATCCTAGCTACTCAGGAGACTGAGGCAGAAGAACTGCTTGAACCTGGGAGGCAGAGGTTGCAGTGAGCCGAGATCACGGCACTGCACCACTCCAGGCTGGGCAACAGAGTGAAACTCCGTCTCACCAAAAAAAAAAAAAAAAAAAAAAAAAAAAAAAGTCAACAACAAAAGATTTCTCAGTTTATTTGCATGTATACATTGTCACCCCAGGGAGTCAGCTCTATTTCAGGAGTCCCCAGCTCCCCTTACTGAGCCAACACCCAAAACCCACCCAAGAGGATGGGTTCTGGATAAATAATGCCCAGGACTCATATTCTAACCCCATAGGTTATAACAGAATTCATCTAGCAAAAACAGAGGGATAGAGGGCCAGTGTCCATGAGATGTCCTTGCCCCTTTGTAAACATTGACATCCAGGCCACTGGAGCCTGGGGAAAGTGTGCAAACATGAGGATGCCACACTGTGTGCCCAGGGGCCAGGAACACAGCTGGCAAACATACCCATGAAGTCCTGAGGGTCTGCCCCCGCTGGAACATAGCAAGTGCCAGGGGCAGAAACAAGGCAGTTACCCCACACCTGAGGGCTCACATGAGACGGCAGCGACGCTCTTGCCCATAGGAATTCTCCACACGGGCAATCTCCTGGATCACTTTGGTGAAGATGCCTTGAGTCAGCTACAAGGGGAGAGGATTCAGGGCAAAAGTCAGTTCAGTGTCAATACCACCCAGCTCTGGAGTGAAAGCCCCATTCCCCGAACATTCCCACCACCAAGCAGTACAATAAGGAAAACACAGCTATCACCACCACCCTTCTAGTCTTCAGGCCCAGCACCTGATTCTCTCGAGCAGATGACTCCATAAATGTCGCACCCCAGGACGCTGCCAGCTTCTTCCCTTCAACTGCCTGTACCTCTCTAGAAGCAAATTTGGGATATAAAGATGGAGAAATGTCAGCAAGTACTCTGAAAAATCTTCAGAATCAAGACTTTCTGGCCACGCACAGTGGCTCATGCCTGTAATGCAGCACTTTGGGAGGCCTAGGCAGTGAATCACTTGAGCTCAGGAGTTCAAGACCAGCCTAGGCAACACAGTGAAACACCATCTCTATTAAAAAGAAAATGAGGGCCAGGCACGGTGGCTCACGCCTGTAATCCCAGCGTTTTGGGAGGCTGAGGCGGGTGGATCACGAGGTCAAGAGATCAAGACCATCCTGGTCAACATGAAACCCTGTCTCTACTAAAAATACAAAAAATTAGCTGGGCATGGTGGCACGTGCCTGTAATCCCAGCTACTCAGAAGGCTGAGGCAGGAGAACCTGTAATCCCAGCTACTCGGGAGGCTGAAGCAGGAGAACAGCTTGAACCCGGGAGGCGGAGGTTGCAGTGAGCTGAGATCGCACCATTGCACTCCAGCCTGGGCAACAGAGCGAAACTCCATCTCAAAAAAAAAAAAAAAAAGAAAAAAAAGACTTCCTCTGACCCATGCCACTTCTCCAAGTTTTGGGAGGAAGTCTGCGGGAGGAGAAAATATAGGTAAACAAAGGAGGCCAGGCACAATGGCTCACACCTGTAATCCCAGCACTTTGAGAGGCTGAGGCAGGAGGATGGTCTGAGGTCGGGAGTTCGAGACAAGCCTGGCCAGCATAGTGAAACCCCATCTCTACTAAAAATACAAAAATTAGCCTGGCATGGTGGCAGGTCCCTGTAATACCAGCTACTTGGGGAACTGAGGCAGGAGAATCGCTTGAACCCGGGACGCGGAGGTTGCAGTAAGCAGAGATCCTACCATTGAACTCCAGCCTGGGCAACAGAGAGAGACTCCACCTCAAAAAAAAAAAAAAAAAAAAAGAAAAGAAAAGAAAAAAGGGAACAATGGAACAATGAGTGACAATGGGTGAATCTAGGACTGAGGCTTGAAATATGAAATCGTGGCTTTTAAGCTAGAAGTGTGTTTGTTTTTAAATTTATTTATTTATTTAAAAAAAAAATTTTAAGAAGTGTTTTTAAGATAGAAGCTTCAAGTTAGAGACAAAGAGAGCTGAAATGACTTGAGTCAGTGGCAGAGCCAGAATGAGAGCCTGACCGACTCCTAGTCCAGCTCACTTCCTTTTGCCCTGCGTAGCAGAGATTTACATACCTCTCTGGAGAGAGATCTGCCTTGTTCCCAACTAGAACCACTGGTACCCTGTGAGGAAACAGCAGTTACTACAGAATCCCCCTTCACTTCCCACATTCACCAACTCCTTACATCAAGGCTGGACAACTCCTCATCAGACCAGGCCAGATCTATATCCCAGCCTCCTCTCTTACTTAGACAATTCTCCCCTCTGCTCTCTTCCACTCCCTTATGCCCACACTATGTCTCTATCCCCCAGGGCCACTTACCGGGTTTTCCCATGGCCTTCGTGTAGCTTTTGGTACAGACTCTCAATGACTTGGAAGCTTTAAATACAAGAATTGGAGCTGTAACTTTTTTTTTTTTTTTTTTTGAGACGCAGTCTTGCTCTGTTGCCCAGGCTGGAGTGCAGTGGCTATCTCAGCTCACTGCAACCTCCGCCTCCTGGGTTCAAGCGATTCTTCCACCTCAGCCTCCCGAGTAGCTGGGACCACAGGCACGTGCCACCATGCCCGGCTATTTTTTTTTTTTTTTTTTGTATTTTTAGTAAAGACGGGGTTTCACCATGTTGGCCAGGATGGTCTCGATCTCTTGACCTCGTGATCCGCCCGCCTTGGCCTCCCAAAGTGCTGGGATTACAGGCATGAGCCACCATGCCTGGCCTGGAGCTATAACTTTATGAGACAGTTCTCAGGTCCTCCCAAGTCCCCCACTCAAACCTTGGTCACTTACCTATGCAGAGAGGTGACAGAATACACGAGCACATAACCATGGACCCCAATGATGAATGAATAGGGCAGAATGCTGTACTCATCCTGGCAAGAAACGGAAACATCACTACCTAGATCCAAACCACTCAAATGGCAAAAATTGGTGGGACAACATCCACATGACCCTCCCTGGGGCACTCCCTACTATAGTCACTTCAACAAATATTTATGGAGCAGCTCCAATGAGCACTGCACACTGTTAGCAGGTAAAATGCTTTCAGTACTACTTTACAGATGAGCCATAAAGACTACCAGACTTCATTTGTGAGGGCTGAACTGCCACATTTGGATACCATACCCCAACTGGTACCTGCCCTGCTGTGTCCACCAGGTGTAGGTGAAATTCATCTTTGCCAAGAGTCACTATCTTGCTGTAAGCTGAAAAGAAAAGAAAACTTGACTGTCAGATGCCTTATAGGGACAGTGATGTATGTCTCCTTATTATTATTTTTTTTAATTTTAGAGATGAGGGTGTTGCTATGTCACCCAGGCTGTATAGCACTAGCTATTCACAGGTGCACTCTTAGCACCTTATAGCCTGGAACTCCTGGGCTCAAGCAATCCTCTGACCTCAGCCTCTCAAGTAGTTGGAACTATAGGTGTGTACCTCTGCACCTGCCTGTCTCCTTACCTTCTTTTTCTTGGCAGTATTTTTTTTTTTTTTTTTTTTGAGATGGAGTTTCGCTCGTTACCCAGGCTGGAGTGCAATGGCGCGATCTCGGCTCACCGCAACCTCCGCCTCCTGGGTTCAGGCAATTCCCCTGCCTCAGTCTCCTGAGTAGCTGGGATTACAGGCACGCGCCACCATGCCCAGCTAATTTTTTGTATTTTTAGTAGAGACGGGGTTTCACCATGTTGACCAGGATGGTCTCGATCTCTTGACCTCGTGATCCACCCGCCTCAGCCTCCCAAAGTGCTGGGATTACAGGCGTGAGCCACGGCACCCGGCCTCTTGGCAGTATTTTTTAAAGTAGATTCTTGATCAGGTGTGGGGACTCACACCTGTAATCCCAGCACTTTGGGAGGCCAAAGCGGGTGGATCACTTAAGACCAGAAGTTGGAGACCAGCCTGGCCAACCTGGCAAAACCCCATCTCTACTAAAAATACAAAAAATTAGTTGGACATGGTGGTGCATGCCTGTAGTCCCAGCTATTCAGGAGGCTGAGGCATGAGAACTATTTGAACCTGGGAGGCTGAGGTTGCAGTGAGCTGAAATTGTGGCACTGCACTACAGCCTGGGTGACACAGCAAGACTCCTATCTCGAAAAGAAAAGAAAAATAGGCCGGGCATGGTGGCTCAAGCCCGTAATCCCAGCACTTTGGGAGGCCGAGGCGGGTGGATCACAAGGTCAAGAGATGGAGACCATCCTGGTCAACATGGTGGAACCCCATCTCTACTAAAAATACAAAATATTAGCTGGCCATGGTGGCGCGTGCCTGTAATCCCAGCTACTCAGGAGGCTGAGGCAGGAGAATTGCTTGAATCCAGGAGGCGGAGGTTGCAGTGAGCCGAGATCGTGCCATTGCACTCCAGCCTGGGTAATAAGAGCGAAACTCTGTCTCAAAAAAAAAAAAGAAAAGAAAAGAAAAATAAAGTATACTCTTTTGCTTTATTGATAAACAATAGATGTACCAAGTTTCAGGGTACATGTGATAATTTAATACATTCACTTAATTTGTTTTCTTTTGTTGCATTGTTTTTGAGACAGAGTCCCACTCTGTTGCCAGGCTGGAGTGTAGTGATGCAATCGCGGCTCACTGAAACCTCTGCCTCCCAGGTTTAAGCGATTCTCCTGCCTCAGCCTCCCAAGTATCTGGGATTACAGGTGTGTGCCACCACAAGCAGCTAATTTTTTGTATTTTTAGTAGAGATGGTGTTTCGAGCCGGGCGCGGTGGCTCAAGCCTGTAATCCAAGCACTTTGGGAGGCCGAGGCGGGTGGATCACGAGGTCGAGAGATCGAGACCATCCTGGTCAACATGGTGAAACCCCGTCTCTACTAAAAATACAAAAAGCTAGCTGGGCGTGGTGGCGCGTGCCTGTAATCCCAGCTACTTAGGAGGCTGAGGCAGGAGAATTGCCTGAGCCCAGGAGGCGGAGGTTGCGGTGAGCCGAGATCGCGCCATTGCACTCCAGCCTGGGTAACAAGAGCGAAAACTCCGTCTCAAAAAAAAAAAAAAAAAAAAAAAAAGAGATGGTGTTTCATCATGTTGGCCAGGATGGTGTCCATCTCTTGACCTTGTGATCTGCCTGCCTCGGCCTCCCAAAGTGCTGGGATTATAGGCATGACCCACCGCACCCGACCTACATTCACATAATTCGTAAAGATCAAATAAGTATATCTGGAATATTCATCACCCTAAATATGTCTTTTCTTTATGCTAGAACCACTTGAATTCTCTTCTAGCTATTTCAAAATGTAAAATAGCTTATTGTAAACTATAGTCACCCTACTGATCTAATACTGTTTTATTCTTCATCAAACTATATATTTATGCTCATTGATCAAATTATCTTTATCCCTCCCACTCCCTTCCCCCTTACATTTTCTTTCTTTTCTTTTTTTGAGACAGAGTTTTGCTCTTGTTGCCCAGGCTGGAGTGCAATGGCTTGATCTTGGCTCACTGCAACCTTGCCTCCCAGGTTCAAGCAATTCTCCTGCCTCAGCCTCATGGGATTACAGGTGTATGCCACCATGCCCAGCTAATTTTTTGTATTTTTAGTAGAAACAGACTTTCACCATGTTGGCCAGGCTGGTCTCAAACTCTTGACCTCTGGTGATCCACCCACCTTGGCTTCCCAAAGTGCTGGGATTACAGGTATGAGCCACCGCGCCAGCCTTTTTTTGGTTTTTGATACCCAAGCTAGTGTGCAGTGGCACAATCTTGGCTCACTGCAACCTTTGCCTCCTGGGTTCAAGCAGTTCTTCTGCCTCAGCCTCCTGAGTAGCTGGGATTACAGGCGTGCACCACCATGTCCAGCTTATTTTGGTATTTTTAGTAAAGATGGGGTTTCACCATGTTGGCCAAGCTGGTCTCGAAATCCTGATCTCAAGTGATCCACCCCCCTCAGCCTCACAAAGTGCTGGGATACAGGCGTAAGCTACTGCACCTGGCCTCCCCTTACATCTTAACCCTGGGGTGATATAGATCAGCTCCAAGGAGTTATCCAGGTAACTGCAAAGACAAGCTAAGCTTCTTTTTTTTTTTTTTTTTTTTTTTGAGACGGAGTTTCGCATCTTGTTAACCCAGGCTGGAGTGCAATGGCACGATCTCGGCTCACCGCAACCTCCGCCTCCTGGGTTCAGGCAATTCTCCTGCCTCAGCCTCCTGAGTAGCTGGGATTACAGGCACACGCCACCATGCCCAGCTAATTTTTTGTATTTTTAGTAGAGACGGGGTTTCACCATGTTGACCAGGCTGGTCTCGATCTCTTGACCTCGTGATCCACCCGCCTCGGCCTCCCAAAGTGCTGGGATTACAGGCTTGAGCCACCACGCCCGGCCCAAGCTAAGCTTCTTAATGTCTGTATCTAAACTATCCCAGACTCAGTATCTTGCAAAGTCTATACTCTAGCCATCCATCAAACAGGATTGCTAAAGAAGAAATTAGATCTAATCTAAATAAATCAGCCCCTTGGCCCCAGAGAAATACATTATGGAGCTGGGTGGGGTACCCAAGCCCTCCGGGTCTCATCTCCAGCACACTAGTGGAGAAGTCTACTCACTATTCTCCACTGTAGGATCGTAGCCTTCCACGAACTCGCCTTCCACAAATTGATGTGCCAGAGATGTCTTCCCTGTGGGGAGCAGTGTGGCAGTTGTATCCAAATCATCCATCCACATTCACATCCTCTGTCCTTTCGGACTGTGGCCCAGGACCAAAGGGGACCCCAAATTAGCACCACAGTCTCTGAGTGCCTCAAGCAATGCTATCTCTTGGTCTACCCTCACCCTCTTTTCGCCCGGGGTCTCCTGACTTTGGCTACCGGATGCATTCAGAAGCACTGCAGGAAGCCTTTCCCGCAGCCTTCCCCATCCCATCCCACCCGCAGAAGATCCAAGATTCCCTAGGATCAAGTCCACCCTGCCCCAGGACATCTGCGACTATCTGTCCCCACGGAGACCGCGTACCGGTTTTCAAATTGTGATCCCACCCCTATCCCCAAAGTAACGCTGGGACAGCTATGAGATTCCCGCAGCCGAGTCCGCATTAACCCTTAAGTGCTCCTGCTTCCTGCAGCCTCCAGACACCACTAGCCTTTATTTCTTCACTCTTCCAATTCTCGCTCTACAACCCCATCCTTACGCTGTCACCATTCCTCCCTGGGTCGCGTTCCAGCGACAGTGCGCTTCTTCTGGCTAAAAAGCTGCTGCACGTCCGAGCTCTGCAGGGCGGAGACTCACCTACAGAGCGGTATCCGAGGATGACCACCTTCCTGTAGCGGACCAGCGGCATGGCAGGAGCCCGCCCCAGGGGCTTGCAAAACTGCGGGCTGAGAGAGCCCGAAGCCTGGGTCAGGGTGTGGGCAGGCGCGTCAACCAGTGCAGGAAAGTCGCTCACTCCGAAGCTGCCGTGGGCAAGTTAGACGGAAACCAAAACAAGCGCCGCGCCCAGAGCTGCCCACGTGATCACAACACAGCACGTCTAACGCTAGGGAGCCGGGCGCCAGGGGAACTGCTGTGCCGCGCCGCGCCGGGCTCCGCCCCCCAGGCCGCTCGCCATTGGCTCATTAGAAAGGGTAAGGGCGGCGCCGCCAGCAGGAGACAAGGGTGGGCCTCACGTGGAGCTGGAGCACTGAGAGCTGCGCGTGCGCAGACTGGAGCCGGTTCATTCATAAAGAAACGGAAAGGAACCCGAGGTCCTAAAGTTGTTTGCACATTTGCAGCCTATACTTACGAATACTCACAGATGGAAAATACCTGTTGTGGTTTCTGGTCAAAAGATTCCAGCCCTCCCCTTTGCATGATCTCTGGGGTCCTTAGATAGGGAGAAAAAGGCCCAAGTTCCAATATATTCCCTCTGCTTCCGCCAGCCTTCGCCCCAAACCTATCAGGTTTCCAGTCTTGCAGCATCTAATTTCAAACTGCAATTCTTGTTCTTGCGGAAATTGCTAGAATTTATGATCAAGTAGTCTGAGGTTTCTTCTTCATCATCATGATCCTCAAACATTCATTTTTCAACAAATACTGAGAATATACCACAAGTTACAGGCATTGCTTCAGCTTTGGGGACAGAACATGGACATGACAGACAATGTGTCAGCTCTTATGAAGGGAGAAACAAACATATAACAAGGAAATACGCCAGACACTGGGGCTAACGCCTGCAATCCCAGCACTTTGGAAGGCTGAGGCGGGCGTATCACGAGATCAAGAGTTCAAGACTAGCCTGGCTGGCCGGGCGCGGTGGCTCAAGCCTGTAATCCCAGCACTTTGGGAGGCCGAGGCGGGTGGATCACAAGGTCAAGAGATCGAGATCATCCTGGTCAACATGGTGAAACCCCGTCTCTACTAAAAATACCAAAAAGTAGCTGGGCATGGTGGCATATGCCTGTAATCCAAGCTACTCAGGAGGCTGAGGCAGGAGAATTGCCTGAACCCAGGAGGTGGAGGTTGCGGTGAGCCGAGATCGCGCCATTGCACTCCAGCCTGGGTAACAAGAGCGAAACTCCGTCTCAGAAAAAAAAAAAAAAAAAAAAAAAAAAAAAAAGACTAGCCTGGCCAAGAGACCAGCCTGGCCAACATGGTGAAACTTCGTCTCTACTAAAAATACAAAAATTAGCCAGGCGTGGTGGTGGGCCCCTGTAATCCCAGCTACTCAGGAGACTGAGGCAGGAGAACTGCTTGAACCCGGGAGGCAGAGGTTGCAGTGAGCTGAGATGGCACCATTTGCACTCTAGCCTGGGTGACAAAGTGAGACTTCGATTCACCAAAAAAAAAAAAAAAAGGAAAGAAAGAAAAAAAAAAAAAAAACAGGAAATATCAGATAGTGTTAAGTGCTATAAAAGATGGTGTGTTTTATATAGCCATCTGTAGTTATAAGGGAACTTGGAAATTTTAGCATTTTCTTTTCCAATGTCTATAGTAAAGGAAGGCAAAAGACAAACTGATTAGAAATTAATGTTTTGGCCTGACGTGGTGGCTCAGGCCTGTAATCCCAGGACTTTGGGAGGCCAGGTGGGTGAATTGCTTCATCTCAGGAATTCGAGACCAGCCTAGGTACGCAACATGGTAAAACCTCTCTCTCTCTCTCTCTCTCTCTCTCTCTCTCTCTCTATATATATATATATATATATATATATATATACACACAGAAAAAAAGAAAAAGAAAAAGAAAAATTAGGCAGGCATGGTAGCATGTGCCTGTAGTCCCAGCTACTTGGAAGGCTGAAGTGAAAGGATCACCTGAGCCCAAGAAGGACAAGGTTGCAATGAGCCATGTTCATGCCATTGTCCCCCAGCCTAGGGAACAGAGACCCTGTATTTAAAAAAAAAAAAAGAGGTTGGGCATGGTGGCTTACACCTGTAACCCTAGCACTTTGGGAGGCTGAGGCAGGTGGGACGCCTGAGTTCAGGAATTAGAGACCAGTCTGGCCAACATGGTAAAACTCTGTCTCTACTAAAAATACAAAAATTAGCCAGGCATGGTGGCCCAGGCCTGTAGTTTCAGCTATTCAGGAGGCTGAGGCAGGAAAATCACCTGAACCTGGGAGACAGAGGCTGCAGTGAGTCAAGATCATGCCACTGTACTCCAGCCTGGGCAACAGAGCGAGACTCCGTCTCCAAAAAAACAAAAAATGAGATGTTTCTTTTTTTTTTTTTGAGACAGAGTCTCACTCCATCACCAGGCGCCAGGCTGGAGTGCAGTGGCGCGACCTCAGCTCACTGCAACCTCTGCCTCCCGGTTTCAAGCAATTCTCCTGCCTCAGCCTCCCAAGTAGCTGGGACTACAGGCGCACACCACCACACCCAGCTAATTCTTTTGTATTTTTGGTAGAGACGGGGTTTCACCATGTTGGCCAGGATGATCTCGATCTCTTGACCTTGTGATCCGCCCGCCTCGACCTCCCAAAGTGCTGCAATTATAGGCGTCAGCCACTGTGCCCAGCCAAAAAATGAGATGTTTCATAAGCCAATCTATAAAACCTGCACATTTTAGGAGATATTGGTTGATTAAATATTTGTTTTTTTTGTTGTTGTTGTTGTTGTTTTTTTGAGACGGAGTTTCGCTCTTATTACCCAGGCTGGAGTGCAATGGCGCGATCTCGGCTCACCGCAACCTCCGCCTCCTGGGTTCAGGCAATTCTCCTGCCTCAGCCTCCTGAGTAGCTGGGATTACAGGCATGTACCACCATGCCCAGCTAATTTTTTTTATTTTTAGTAGAGACGGGGTTTCACCATGTTGACCAGGATGGTCTCGATCTCTCGACCTCGTGATCCACCCGCCTCGGCCTCCCAAAGTGCTGGGATTACAGGCGTGAGCCACCGTGCCCGGCCAAATATTTGTTTATTAAATATCAATTACTTTGAAAGGTAATGCATAAATGATTTATTTAGTAAAGATCACAAAAATAGGATCAAATAAAGCAAGAATAGAACTTGGGGATAAGTGGCCAAAATATATATATATATATTAAAATATGTAGTATATAAAATAAATATTTAATATGTAATAAATATAAAAATAGAAATAAAGCAATTCATCCTAAAGTTAGCTAAATGGACTTGGAATAACATTTCTTTTGTTTTTTATTATTTTTATCTTATTTTATTTTGTTATTGATTTTTGAGACAGGCTCTCCCTCCGATTGCCCAGGCTGGAGTGCAATGGCATGATTTTGGTGCACTGTAGCCTCAACCTCCCGGGCTCAGGTGATTCTCCCTTAGCTTCCTGAGCAGCTCAGACTACAGGCATGCACCACCATATGCCCGGCTAATTTTTTTTTTTCTTGAAAGATGGGGTCGCTCCCAGACTGGTCTTGAACTCCTGGCCTCAAGCAACTTTTCCTCCTCAGCCCCCTAAAACACTGAGATTACAGATACAAGCCACTGAGCCCAGCCTAAAAAAAAACATTTCTGGTGACAGCATCATACGTTGCTATGTCTCAAACAACTGAGACAAAATAAAGGTAAGATGTTCCCAGAAAACTGTTTTTTGTTTTTTTTTTTTTTTTGAGACGGAGTTTCGCTCTTGTTACCCAGGCTGGAGTGCAATGGCGCGATCTCGGCTCACCACAACCTCCCCCTCCCGGGTTCAGGCAATTCTCCTGCCTCAGCCTCCTGAGTAGCTGGGATTACAGGCACGTGCCACCATGCCCAGCTAATTTTTTGTATTTTTAGTAGAGACGGGGTTTCGCCATGTTGACCAGGATGGTCTCGATCTCTCGACCTCGTGATCCACCCGCCTCGGCCTCCCAAAGTGCTGGGATTACAAGCTTGAGCCACCGCGCCCGGCCCAGAAAACTGTTTTAAGTGTCTCTGGGAAAAGTGAAAAATGTCTCTACTCTGTTTGCATCCAAATTATATGTCTTTTCTAATGGATTCCATTGCCCAGGTATTCAGGGGTTCTTTGTTTTCCACAGTTAGGGTTCACCTTCCTGCCTGATAATATGTCAATTACCTATTGTTGCATAACAAACTACATCAAAATTTGGTGGCTTAAAACAATCTCTATTTCTCAGGATTCTGGGAGTTGAACTGATGGTTCTTCTGTTGCCTCCTCTGGACTCACTCTTGTGGCTAGTCGGTGGAAGCTCCTCTGGTAATGGAAGGTCTAACGTGACCACACTCATGTCTGGAGCCTTGGCGCTGGCTATTGGCTAGGCCTCTGTCTCTCCACATGTCTCTCATCACTTAGTGGTACAGCCTAAGCTTCTTGGGTGGCAGAAGCATCCAAGAGGGCAAAGATAGGACAGTGCATGGCCTCGTGAGGCCTTAGGCTTTGAAACTCATCCAACACAAGTTCTGCTCCATGCTAGTAGCCTAAGCAAGTCACGAAGCCATCCCAAATTCAAGGCATGGGGAAATAGACTCCATTTCTCCATGAGAGAAACGGCAAAATATTGTAGCTATATTTTTCAATCTGCTACAGACCAGATTAATTATGGCAAGAAGTGCAAGCTGTAGTTCTCCATTTACCTAGCACCCCCAGGTTTCCACAGCTGTAGTTGAGCCCTACGACTCCATCCTCACCATAAACACCACCCTGGAGCACTCTGATTGCACCTTCATGGTAGACAATGAAGTCAGTCATCTATGACATCTCTCATACAAACCTCGATATTGGGTGCCTGACCTACAGTAACCTAAACTATCTGATATTGAATCTGTTGTAGTCACTTGAATATTAAGAATGCGCTTGGCTTCAGTAACAGAAAAACCTAGCTGCAATAGCTTAAACAAATAAAGATTTATTTTTCTTAAGTAACAACCTAGAGGTAAGCAGCACCAGTCCAGTTGCTCCGTAATGCCAGGTCTAGTACCTGCAGTTCTCTTAACTCTTCCCTTATGCTTGTCACCTCACAGCCACAAGACGAGTTCGCCTTCAGACATATCTAAGTTGCAAAAGAGGATCTAGTGATCATAAATGCACTTATATTGAAAATGAATATTTTAGTCAGGCGCAGTAGCTCACGCCTGTAATCCCAGCACTTTGGGAGGCTGAAGTGGGCAGATCATCTGAGGTCAGGGGTTCAA